TGGCATAATCTCCAGACGTAAGGACCGAGTATAAGGTCGGAACTTTGGGCCTCGTGTAGGAGATATTGTTGAAGAAGGCATAACCGGCACCGTTAGCCAGATTGTCCATCACGACGTCGACTTCAATCACCATATCGGGGTCTTGGAGAAGCGGCATCCGGTCGTGAGGAACAAGCTTCATGTCATCGTATGGGACAAGATCGGAGGAAACGTCCACCTTCATCACAGCTTGCGGATGCGCCGCCTCGCTATTGTACTCGAGCCAATTGGTTTGATTGAGCTGGAGAGAAGGCAAGATGACATCTAGTAGAAGCGAGTCGGCAACGGTCACGATCGGATAGTTTTTATCCGTGGAATTTTTCATGGTGACCAAGATCGAATAACGTTGCGCAACGGAGATATAAAGTGTATCGGCCTCTTGCTCGTCAACGTATACTCCATCGATTTCCACAATTCGGAAAGTGTGGTCTTCGATGTAGAAGTACTGCGCCACAAAGGCACCAATATTGATCAACCGCATCAAATAAGTCTTTCCAGCTTCAACGGGAATGCTGGTGCTCAAAGTGTCATTGAAGAGGAAAGAATTCGGAACAGGCTCAGCTCCCGTGGGATTTTCCACACGAATGAACGGAATATCCTCGATAAGCTCATGGTACCAGTCACTCATCGTAAGAGTAAGCTCATGATCATACATATCGTTGAAATACGACTGATCATCGTGCACAATCAAAGCTTGTCGATAGCCGTCCGGGTAGCAAGAGTCAGTATGGCAATGATACCAGTAGGTACCATTTTGGGGGATGGTGAAGTCGTAAATAATTGAGGCACCAGGAGGGACTGGGCATTGGGTAACCATCGACGGGCCATCCATATTATTGGTTCCATTTTGGAACATGCCGTGCCAATGGATGGAAGTCTCCTTGTCCTCAAGCCCATTATACATATTGACAATCAAGCGATCTCCCTTGTCCACCTCAATGACGGGTAATGGCCACTGGCCGTTGATACCCACCACCTTGCGCTCATGGAGACCATCAGGGTTCGCATTGACCCAGGTGACGTTGAAATCCAGATGCACTGTCTTCGCCTGGCAGTACTGCACAAAAAGCAGTACTGCCGTGAGGCGGAACAGCATGCTATAATACATAGTCATGATTTCACGTTTCTCTCCAAGGGGGAGATCAGAGAGAGATTCCCGGCTTTTCGGATGAAAAGAGAACAAAAAACCCTACAAGCCCGGGAAACGGCGTCCGAGATTGATAAGCGGCAAGCTAAATCCTTGGGGAGAAGTCCCTGTGTGTCACCGATCTTAATCAATCTTTCACCTTAATCAGATGTAAAGACGGGTATCGGGTATACACGTGGAAGTTTATCAAATGTCCATTGGTTTAGTTCCAGATCAACCATGGTGGGCACGGACATAGGGCATAATGGTGTCCGCTGAATTTATTTGTAGACGAATCAGAATTGTTATGAACTTGTGCTCACCTGCCAAATTAGGAAATGTGGCATGACTGCTATCCCTTCCGGCTGGGGATTTTCTTTTTGCGATTCAACAGAATTCGGGTGGCTAGACACCTAAACATGTGATCATTCGTGTTCAAGGGATATCCACTACCAATCATAAAGCCAAGACACTTGAAAAAAGCTTTTGATACGGGGAACTCCCAACGGAACTAAGCTCAATCGGATAAGTACGAGTGGGTCGTTAAAGGCTTGTCGCGCTTGTAATTTTGAATGAAATTTTTGACTTTCTATAGGTAATATAACGAGCCTTATCGGATTGCTTTTTATTCCAATGCCTTTGTCTTTTGGATCTCTTCTTCTTTGAACCTTGACCCAATTCATACCTTGCATCATGGGTAATAACCAGGTGTTCGCTGTCACCGGTATAGTTCATGCACTGCTTTTTTTTTTGGAACTTCCTACTAACTTGGTTCAAGTGTTTTTCATTTGCTTTCGAGAATGTCTGGAGACAACGGTGGTTGTGTCAGTCCTATTAGCTTTCTTGAAGCAAACGCTCTACGAGACAGATCGCCCGACGTATAAAAAGTTGACTAAACAAGTATGTGACCGGCTCTTACAATTCTATCCAAGTTCGCAGGCTAAATGAAACAGGTCTGGCTGGGATGCGGCTTAGGGTTATTTATTTGTATTGCAGTCGGGGCGGGCATGATTGGTGGTTTCTACGGCCTGGGAACAGACACTTTCTCCAGCACTGAGGATATTTGGGAGGGTGTTCTGGGAATTATTGCAGCAATCATCATCACTATCATGGGCGCTGCTCTTCTGCGCGTGTCTAAGCTCCAAGATAAATGGCGCGTCAAGCTCGCCAAGGCCCTCGAACATGAGCACGACCCTAACGAGACAAAGAAGGGTCGCGTCAAGAGATGGTTGGAGAAATATGCTATGTTTATCCTGCCATTCATCACGGTTCTCCGTGAGGGTCTCGAAGCTGTTGTCTATGTCGGTGGTGTTGGATTAGGTCTTCCTGCTACTTCCTTCCCCTTGGCCGTCTTTTGCGGTCTCTTGGCCGGTTTCGCAGTGGGCTATATTATCTACCGGTATGTCGATTCGATTGCCTTCGAGAAAGGTACAGGGCTAACATACCGACAGAGGTGGACGCCAGACTTCGATGCAGATATTCTTGATTATCTCCACTTGCTTCCTCTACCTCGTTGCCGCCGGTCTTTTCTCGCGTGGTGTCTGGTTCTTGGAAAACAACACCTGGAACCACACTATCGGAGGCGACGCGGCAGAGACTGGCTCTGGCGCTGGATCCTACGACATCCGACAGAGTGTCTGGCACGTCAATTGCTGTAACCCGCTGATCGGAGGTGGCGGCGGTTGGGGTATCTTCAACGCGCTTTTCGGTTGGACCAATTCTGCCGACTATGGTTCCGTACTCGCTTACAACTTATACTGGATCTGTGTCATGGTTGGCTATTCACTGATGTACTACCGTGAGAAGCGCGGAGCTATCCCCGTCATTGATCCGGCTATGAACAGCGTCGCAAGAGCCAAGGCCAGGGCCAGGGCCTTTATTCTGCGCCGTCCCTATGAAGATCCGGTAGCATCCGTGGAGACAACAGTTCCCGTTTCAGAGACAGCAGTTCCCGTTTCGGAGAAGCGTGCAGAGACTGGTGTTTTGGCTCTTTAGATTTAATCGGTCGGGACGGATCTTTCTGTTCCAACGGGGATTACATAGCAAGAGGGGTGAGAGTGGGATGGGTAAGAGGCCGAGGAAAGGCTTCCATGTAAATTGAAAAATGAATTTCAAATGTGAACTGCATTCATTGATACAGTAATCTTACCATGCCAAACCTTATTAAGCTTTCATGCAGGGTCTTGGTTGGTGTTTTAAAAGCGCGGAGTCCGTCCCTCCCCACTCCCCTATATTGTATCCATATTTCCGTGGATTCAAAAGGAAGCCGGAATGTTTTCTCTAAGACAAGGCTTTTCGTCGGGTACAGATAGTCTCAAATGAACGGAGTTCCGGAAATCCGAATTTTCTGATAATCGACTAGCCTGGTCGGGATTTGTTCGGTGAGGGGAAGCATAAGTGCATGAGCCCACAAAGCTACAGGGACCTGGATCCTAGCAAATTCTGAACTGCACTAGTATAACACTAGTATTCCGCATAGACTGTATGTAACTGATTGATGATCTTATCATAATATGGTGGATAGGGATACCTACATGCATACCTGCACACACCTACGGAGTACATACCCACCGGCTCAGTGGGTACGGATACGAGTGAAACTTTGTCAACCAAGGCTGGAAGGTCTAACGCACAGCCCTGGATTAGCTTAGCCACTTGTACACATCAAGCTTTTCACTGACTGCATATCAATTTGATATTTTGTATCCCAACCAATATGACGAATTGACAGCATCCCGACTATCTTCTGTAACTTGTGACCTTACCGATATAAGTTAGTAGTTTATATGATCCTGTGACAATGCTACCTTCTGCTATATGTATGCTGACATCTTAAACGCCGGTGTTCCACAATTAGCGCTACCAAACCTTCTCTGAAAGATAGGAAACAGCGTGGATCATTGGAGGAAATTTTAATCAGATTCGGCATGGCGTTTCCAAGGTTGATCATTTTATCTGATTGATTAGATGAATTTTAACTTTTTCAACGTTGGAAGGTTCCATCGATATCCATGGCAGTGTGCAAGCAAAACTCTTCACGGATTTTAGGTGATTCATAACCCACAATTACCCCCTTGGGATCTATCTCCGTTGTCTTTATCAGATCCCCCCGTAGACCTGAAGAGGAATATGTGCAATGCCCAGACTCGATATTTGCCCAATAGCTGAGGTCATTCCGACCCTACCAGAACGTGATGATAGTAAGCACATACATTACTGGAGAAGTAGGGATTCAGAAAACAATTGAGCAGCCAGTAAACAACTGCTGAATATATAGCAACTATTAATTAACTATTTGTTTTCTTCAGACCTATTCGCAATCTATTTGCAATTAAACACCCGCCGATCATCCGCTAAAAATCCGTCGAACGTCCGCTGAACATCCGTTGAAATCCCGCTGAAGAACCGCTGAAGAACCCTGCAAGACACTGAAAGACTCTGAAGAAACGTCATCAAATGGTTTTGTATGATTATTCAACGCCGGTAAAAAAGAGGCAGTGCTCGTTCAATGCCTTTCTGTAACCCTAGCCCACCTACGTATGTACCCCAGTGATATCCTGGTTATATTTCCTAACTGGGCGTGGGAAGACAGTCCTTGGTACGTTACGATGTAGGCAATGCCCCGTTCTACGTAGTATGAACTGTGAGACACGGAATTGGGCCGAGTGTCCTCACAGGCAGTGGAGTCTCTAGATTATACTCTTGGCACGATTTTCTCCGGTGTAGTTCAAATAAGAGGAAATGAGATTAATAATCGGCTTCCCCGGAGAGGTTGTGTTGATTCTAGAGATTTTACTTTCGAGGTTCTACGTTGAGTCTGTCCGCAACAGTCACGATGAGTGATCTCAAAGCCGCAAAAGATGCTGCAAAGGCTGCTGCGCAGGCTGCATGGAAAAAGCTGCGCCTGGTTAATAACGAATGGAGCAATAAGTACTTTGCCATCGCTATCGGCGCAATTATGGTTCTCTTTGCTGTATATCACTGGTCAAGTGTAATTCACTTTTACTATGGTCGAAGGAGAAATCATCCTACATTGACTCGGAAGTATAGGTATGTTCATTGATAATATGGATCAAGGACAATACTGATCGTCTAAATGTAACAGACAAGCTCGATGTTTTCTTTCTAGCTCAACGATGGGATTAAGGACGGATCGTTCTATTCTATATATCATTTACTGGGCTATCAACTTGATTCTTGCTTTAACAAATGTTGACCTTACGAATATCAATTATGTGAGTTAACCTCGTTCATTCCCTGGTCTTGGTATACGTTTTTACTCACAACTTCCTAGGTTGCTAAACGATTTGGCTGGTGCGTAATATTTTCGATTTCTTCTGCTCCTACGGTCTGGAAACTGATAAGCATCTATAAACAGGATCTCAGTCGCAAACTTGGTGCTTTTGGTCTTCTTGGCCTTGAAGAACACACCTCTCGCGCCCTTGACAGCCACATCCTACGAAAAGCTTCGCCCACTACACAAGGCTGCCGGTTACACTTGCATATTCACAAGTGTCTTACATGGCATAGTGTACCTAGCTGCGTGGGCTAAAAGTGGCGACCTATACGAAATGGAAGAAACAAAGAACTTTGCCGGCGCCATCGCAGGACTTGCCATGGTAATCATTGGCTTTTCAACTATCACATACTTCATGCGAGGGTATTATGAACGTGAGTCCTTCCTTTATATACCTTTATATACTCTATACTTTTCTAGTTTTCTCTTCTAATGTCTACAGTCTTCTATATGCTACACATATTGATGTTCATTTTGATTATGATCACAGTCGGAATGCACCGTCCGAAATTCAAGACCTCGTCGGTGATAATCGTGGTTTTCACTGCCTCGCTTTGGGCCATGGACCGCATCATCCGCGGCGCAAAGATAGTCTGGAACTTTTTCGGAAATTCCCTCACTGTCACAGCTTTGCCTAACAACGCCCTTCGGGTGAAACTCAGCCGTCGCATGCACTGCCGTCCAGGTTCCCATGCATTTTTATGGGTTCCTGCCATCCGCTGGATTGAAAGCCATCCGTTCACCCTAGTATCTTCGAATCCCTCCGAGTTCGTTATTCGAGTGTACGATGGCTTTACCCGGGATTTATATAAAGCTGCCCAGGAGTCACCTGGGAGATCTCTACGCTGTTCTGTGGACGGTGCATATGGTCAAGTCCCTAACTTCAAAGTGTTTGAAAAGGTTGTTCTTGTCGCCGGTGGCAGCGGTGCTAGCTTCACATTTGCTATTGCACTAGACCTGATCGCGACGTCTGACAAGGCAGTGAAGTCGATTGGTTTTATTTGGGTAGTGAGACATCAAGGTTCGTGAAATGTTTACGAGAAAACACTGTTTTTATATGCGCATCAACTAACTCTGTCTCATAGAGAGTCTCGAGTGGTATGCCCAGGAGCTCAAACAACTTCAGTCCCATCCAGAAGTGAATTTGTTCATTCACGTCACCCGTCAGGCTGGCCTGTCCGGCACATCGCCATCCACATCCCCAGGTTCTTCATCAGAAAAAGTATCTGAAAAGAACGATGTAATCCAAACAGACGATTCTCCAGTCTTTTCAACAAATGACCCTGAGAAAGGCGCTGGGCAACAGTCCACGGACAATACATCTTCCATCAACGCGATCTTGCCAGGGCGCCCGGATATTGGCAACTTGATCGCAGCCGCAGCCGCGGCCGCTGGAAGCGACACATTAGATGACCGCATCATTGTTGGTGCTTGTGGTCCCAGCGAGCTTCTGAGTATGACAAGGAAGGCTGTTAACAATGAGTTGCATAATGACGGATTATCGATAACACTATACACCGAGGTAAGCTAATAAGCATCCAAGACAAGGAAGAAACTTGACTAAAACTTTAACGCAGGAATTTGAATGGTGATATAAATGGGCTAGTCTGAAGTATGGTATCTGATAGAGGGAAATGTTGACGAGAGATGATGATGTCGAGATTGGAAGCTATGTATATTTAGAGAGACGGCGACTGTATTTAGCTATTCCTGCTTACTTTTATCGTTATGATACAACTATGATCTTTTTTACGTTCCAACTGGTTCTCGTCTATATGTATATACTCAAAAGCGCCATGGATGTGTAGGTCTTCGTATAACAGAAATCGCCCTAGATATTCTGTCTCGCGCATTATTGTTTTTAGTAAGGAGGATTGTCGAGTCTTTGATGTTTTGCATATGGTGCCTTGATGCGTGCAGTCAGCCCGGCCTTGAGAGGGATCTTCGAGTTGATGGATTTTGTGATTCGGATTTTATTGTTGGGCTGTGCTTTCCGTATTTACTGTTCCTTGCACAGATATATAGTAAAAGAAAAGCTGCATTTTAATCCCAAAAAATGCTTACTCTTTCTGATTCTTGGACTGACCTGCTCGATAGGCTTATTAAACCGATTTTATGCCTATCCCGACCCCGGCCAGATTATGGCCTATTATGGCCGTAGGGCATTGGATAGTTGTGGAGGAGCTTCCGTGGCAATGAACCAGTTAATGATGACACAATTGATGAAGCAATTGATGAAGCAGTTGATAAAAAGGCAGAGAAATGGTGCTGGAGAATGACGCCAACACGCATGCTGGTATCCGCACCCTTTCTCTTTTATCTGACTATGAGAATGATGGATACTCCGAGGTTGAGATTGTCGAGGCCCGCAAGATTGATACAATTGGTAACTATGCTCTACACCACCGCTTAGATCAATCTGGTGGTTAGTTGTTAAGACGAATGTTCTAACCAGGTACGGATGGTATCATCGAGAATGTCAGTGACCGCGTCGGACAACCCCGTCTATCTTTTGATTGATATCGACACCTTGGATCGTGCTTTTAAGTGTCTTTGCTATGAAGATGGGTAGTCAAATACTAACTACCGGAGTGCTTTCCCTCGTCCTAGCTGCTGGTATCCCAGAGAGTAGAAGGTGGTCTACGCGCGAAGTGAGGATGATTATCCGTGACCTTGATGGATGGGAAATATGCTTTTATTTATGCCCATTGTCATTTGAAGGAATTCCAGAATGGACTAAGGATTTGAAATCTTCACGCCAGGTTGTAAACAATGAAATTCGTTTGATTAGATGCTTATCCGTGGATAGGAGTTAGGGTTCGGGTTCTGGCATATGCAATGCAATGCAATGAATTTAGTTATCCCGATGATCGAAAATGAAAGCCATCGCCGATCCTTCAACGGTCTGATGGACCGTTTTTCAAAATCCAACCCAAAGTCAAAAAGACATCTGGCAATTTTGCCCAGGTTTCCGCGCAATTTCCCCGGAGACCTCGGGTCCGGGACTAGGGCCAATTACAGAGTACCTCCGCTCAATTGGTTCAAGAGTTTGGGCATACATACACCTTGTATGAAGTACATCATATACGGAAGAACCCCCATATAACATAGAGACATGAAGCAAATTCCCGAACCTCTGAGCCCGGCTCACGGTCAATTGGAGTGTGGATCCGGGTCCAGAGAACTTCGTGGATTGGTCTGGCTGGCCCGTCTCTGGCACGATTAGACTCCATCTGGGACTGAATGCGCAGTGATCGGCAAAAGGCCATGAGGTCGATTGGGAGGGTCAACAGAAGAAATTGCCTCGGATAGTTCCTTTCAGCTCCCCCAATCTCGATCAAGCTAGAATGCAAACCTGAAACGAACGGGCAAAACGTGCTGGTTCGACCCATTTTGGCTGTTTTAATTTATTTCCGGTGGAGATAAGGAGAATCGAAGTCATCGAACCGTAAGTACAAAGGCACTATTGAACCATGTGCGAGTAATTCGAATGGGGAGACCATATGCGAATAGTACCCCCCTATACAAAGTACCTAACAATAAAGAAAAAGAAAAGAAAAAGTTGAACCTAAGAAATCTTAGACCCTAATGTCGCTGCCCCTGAACCAAATTCTCCTTCGCTTGGAAGATAAAATCACCCTTCATCTTAAAATAAACGCTAAACTATTCTAAGCGGTGCACGGTGTCAATTTCTCCATCTTCCTTTTGCCTCCTTTCTCTTTCGCACGTCACGGGGATTAACAGGTACGTTGGTGTGTTGATGTTTTTCTTATCGGGGAAAAAAAAAAGGGGACGCTAAACTGACACCTCTCTCCACATTCTTTAGACATCTCCCTATTCTGCGCCTCAATGACTACGCCCGCTATCGATTAGCACCTCGAATTCCTTTTTTCATTTCTATTCCACCTGGCGTGGTCCTCTTGGGGAGAGAGAGATGACCGCCTCACCGCCAGCATCGCCCACTGGCGCACCCCCGCGCCCCATCAGTGCAGTGATGCGCACTCCGCGCAGTACAAGTCGTTTAAGTATGAGCAGTAGACAAGGAGGAAGTCGTGCATCGGATGAGGATGGCAAGACTGCAGTTAAAGTTGGTATGTGGATTCAATCCCCCCCCCTTGATGGTTACCCGGTACCTGCAAAGAAACACAACGTCAGCCGGCAATCAAATTCATACTGACTTCGCGCAGCTGTCCGTGTGCGACCACCGCTGAAACCCACTGATCCCGGTTACGAATTGATTCCTCAGCGATTCCAGCAATCCAAAGTCCATGTAACCGTGCCAACTAGTCTGTCTGTTGACGTGTCCGGTGGGCGCAAACTATTTGTGTTTGATCGTGTCTTCCCCGAAACCACCGAACAGGAGGGTGTTTGGGAATATGTCAGTGATAGTGTCGACTCTTTTGTTCAAGGATACAATGTCTCGATTATGGCATATGGCCAGTCCGGCGCGGGAAAGTCGTTCACAATGGGTACTTCGGGTCCCACAGAGCAGAATAACATGCAGGATATGGGTGAGTTTGAAAGATACCTTGTTTACCTCTCAGGGACTAACCGTGAATCTTTGATTTAGGTATCATCCCCCGTGCTGCGCAGACCTTGTTCGATAAATTAGAAGGCCCTTCAAAACATAATCGGAATGGTTCGAACACAACTACTGGCCTCCGAACACCCCAACGATATTCAATGACTTCCGCCTCGAGCTTTGGGAAGTTGCACCAGGAAAAAGAAAAGACCTGGCAACTGAAGGCGACATATGTGGAGGTGCGATTTCATTTTTAAGCTTGCTCGGCCATTGTTCTGACCATTGTCTTGCAGATCTATAATGAGCACCTGAGAGATTTGCTCCTTCCCGAATCGACAATCGCAAACGATCGCAGCAACGTAACGATTCGTGAAGACACCAAGGGTCGCATTCTTCTAACTGGTCTTCACCAAGTCAACATTAATTCATTCGAAGATCTGATCGGTGCCCTGAACTTTGGATCGACCATTCGTCAAACAGACTCCACGGCAATCAACGCCAAATCATCTCGGTCGCATGCCGTCTTCAGCTTGAACCTTGTGCAGCGCAAGTCTTCACCAACCCACGCGACCCCGAGCCCCATAAAGGAGAAGCGCATGTCGATGCCAGTCGACACATTCCACGCCGGGGAATCAGTCACTGTTGATAGCAAACTGCACTTTGTGGATCTGGCGGGCAGTGAACGGCTGAAGAACACTGGCGCCTCTGGAGAACGTGCCAAGGAGGGTATCTCTATTAACGCTGGGTTGGCCGCACTCGGAAAGGTCATCTCACAGCTTTCGTCGCGCCAACAGGGCTCTCACGTCTCCTACCGCGATTCAAAGCTTACCCGACTACTCCAGGATTCACTCGGTGGAAACGCTTTTACATATATGATTGCTTGTGTAACTCCCGCCGAGTTCCACCTGAGCGAGACTTTGAACACAATCTCATATGCGCAGCGGGCCAGAGCCATTCAGAGCAAACCTCACATTCAGCATATCGCAGACGACGGCGACAAGCAGGCTTTGATTGACCGGCTCAAGTCTGAGATATCTTTCTTGCGACTACAGATCCGCAACTCCGAAGGATCCGAGCGACGGGAAGGAGCATCCGCCGAACGAAGCGAACGCAAAAACGAACGTGAAAAACACCTGCAGAATCAGTTGTTGGATGTCCAAGAAAGCTATAATTCTCTCAGCCAGCGTCACGCCAAGCTGATTTCGAATATGGCCAATGAGTCGGAGTCACATGCCACCAACGGCGAAATGAACGACGCTACCTCCGAAATTGGGAAGAACTCAGTTGAGAGAATGCAGCGGTCCAAGTCCTTTGCCGAATCTGTGGAGCAGATGGTTTTGGAGTACGAAAAGACCATTCAAAGCTTGGAGGCCTCACTCTCTGAAACGCGCGCCTCCCTATCTATCACGGAGAGCGATTTACTCGAGCGTGAGACCAAGTGCGCCTATATCGAGACTATGAAGGAACAGCTTCAGACCCGTGTCCAGAAGATGCTGGACCGGGAAGTCAACACTGAGACCTACCTTCACGAATTGGAGTCTAAGCTTGATGGACACTCTACAGGCGAAGAGAAGCATGCTGCCATTGTTGCCGAACTGCGCAAGGAACTGAGCCGGGCCCGCGATAATGAAGCCAGCTGTGAGGAATACATCTCGACCCTCGAAGAACGACTTGCGGAGGGTGATCAGGACATGGAACTTATGCAGCGCGAAGTAATGCGCTTGGAACATGTCATTGAGCGCCAGCGAGGCCTCGGCCAGCTAGACCGCCTACTCGGCGAGCTGGACGAACAAGATCGCGGAGATAGACACAATGGCGCCAACGGCATTGACCACCCACACTATCACCAGACCAGGGGTATGCAGACCTCTCATCGACACACGCCATCTCTGGACGTTCTCAGCGAAGCAGTTGAGACAGCCATTCCGGAATCAGACGAGGACCTTGTCGAGCCGACCGTAGAGGCCGAGCTTGATTCCATTGGAGAATCTGAGCCGGAGACGGGCGAGGACTTGAAGGTTCTGGAAACCGTGACCAGCAAACTGGAGGCACGTCGCACAGAGGCTCTTCGTGAGGAGCCCATCTCCAGTCCCGCCCAGTCCAAATTCGTTGCCGACAAGCTTGAGACTGTCACCCAGGAGCTTTTCGACCTGCGTCTGCAGCACGAGAACACCATTGGAGACTTCGAGAACCTCGAATCCAAGTACGAGCAGGCTATCAAGGCCCTTGAAGAGCTTCGCCAGGATAAACTTGACGAAGCCCGCCACCCGGCACCCAGCGTCCAAAATGAAATTTCGCCAGGTCCGGTGACTTTTTTAGGAAATGGAGGCACTCCGACCTCGAAGGCTGGAGCACAACACTCATTCTCGCAATCACTCTCTTCGGAATTATCCTCGGCCGGGGAGCAATCTACTTTGCGCGCATTGTCTGAGGACGGATCGAAGGCAATTTCATCCGCGCCCTCAACCCCGCAGGTATTGTCGGCCGTTCAAGTGGACACCGAAGAGTCCGAGAGCATGCGCAAGATGCTCGCCGAGCATCAGGAGAGTGCTGAGCTCATGACCCAGAAATATACGGAGTTGCAAGCCGAGCATGAGGAGATTCTTGAATTGGTCGAAAGGCTGAAGGCCGAGGCCCAACGGGCCAAGTCCAGCTCGCCCCCTTCGACACCTGGTTTCAAAATGATCCGCCGCATGACTAGCCAGAACATTCTGTCAGGAGTTGATCGTGCAACCCGAGCCCTTACCGGTCTCCGACTCCTTGCGTCCGAGGAGTTTGCTGAGAAGCCGGACGCTATGCACAACTTCGATTACCACCTGGATCAAACCATGCACGAGTTGCAAAGCCGTATGGAGCGCCTCCAGTCCCTTGAAGCTGAGAACCAGGGTGTGAAGAAAGAAATGGAAATGAAAGCGACCATTATCTCGGGCCTGACCAGAGAGCGGTCGAGTTTGCAGGGTGTTTCGCCTGTGGACATGGCTCTGGTCTCGCAACTGCGCGATCAGGTCGTCTCCCAGGAAAGGCAGATGAACCATCTTCGAGACGCTCATGAATCCCGCCAAAAGGAGCTGTTGACCGAGATTGCTAACTTGAAGGGTCTTCTGAAGTCCCAGGAAAGCGCTACCCGGGCAATGGACGCCGGTGCCGAGGAGCAGGACAAGAAGATCGGTGCTCTGCAGGGAGAGCTCACGGAGTGGCAAGACAAGCACAAGAGTGCTCTGGAGTCCTTGCAGTCCTCGGAGTCGCAGCTCACTTCTACTCTTGCTGAACTGGAGGGTGCTTTGGCTTCGGTCGCCGCTATGCGCTCCGAGCGTGCTGCTGCCGATACCGACTCTACTGAGAAAGAAGCCGCTGCTCGAGAGCTTGAGAGTGGCCGCGCCGAGCAGCAGGACATTGTGGATAGCCTGACGAAGAACATCGAGGATCACAAATCTACTATTGCTGCTCAGCTTGCGACAATTGCCGGTCTGGAAAAGTCGCACTCCGATGCCCGGGACCAACTGGCTTCACAGACCACTGTCGAGGAAGGAGCCAATGCCGGCGCTGTTGACTTGGGCCTTTCTTCTCGGATGGCTGAGCTTGAGCAGGAAATCTCTACCCACAAATCAGCTATCGATTCTCACAATACTGAGCTGAATACCCTCCAGGAATCTCACAAGCGTGAGCTGGTTGAGTTGGAGGAACGGACTAAGGCTGCTGTCCAGGCCGAGTACGATGCTCGTCTCGTCGAGAAGGATGCTGAGCATGAGCAATCCATGGTGATTTTGCAGAAAGATATTACCGAGTCTCGGGATGACTTGGTCAAGCTGCTCAAGGCTGTGTCGACTCTCCTCAACACCGAGGTCTCAGCCGATAACTTGACGGATCAAATCCAAGAAGTTTTGGCCCAGAAGCAGCACTTCTCAGACAAGTATGCTGAGCTTATGGGCACCAATGAAGACCTTCGCAAGCAGCTAGAGGCCAACACGGACTCTGAGAGCCGTCTGGACGAGATGACCAAGAAGAACGACGTCCAGGATGCCAAGGTCAATGAGCTGGCTCTCTTGGTGGCTACGTTGGAGGATACTCTTCGCCAGAAGGATGAACAGGTCAAGAAGAAGGAAGCCCTGGTTGAGGAGATCACGATCGAGAAGCAGAAGAGCGTGCGTCTCGTGGAGGAGCTGGAGGAACAAATTACCAACAGCTTCGATCAGCATCACAACCGTCTGTCCGTCATTCAGCAGGAGCGTGATCAGGCTCTGGAAGACGCCAAAGCCAAGATTGTTATCTACGAAGGCGACATCGAGACTTACCAAGTGCGGATCGAGCAGCTTGAGCTTCAAATCAAGAACACCGGAAACGCCGACGGCTCCCACGACCGCAGCAGCTCTCTCACATCCAATCTCCGCAAGAGCGCTTCCGCTGCCTCTCTTCCCTCGCCTCCACCGGCGATCCCTCTCCCTCCCCTCCCTACTATCGCCTCTCACTCCACTTCGTCCCCGCCCAGCTCTCGACACGCCAGCAAAGAGCTATCCAACGTCCAGCTGGTCGAGGACCAGGAAGCTCGAATCCGAACAATCGAGAAGCACCTGTACGCCGAGAAGCAGCTGACTGCCACCTTGGAAGAGGCCCTCGGCGATCTTGAAGCCCAGAGCACCAAGGTCAAGAGCGACTGCGAGGCCTGGAAGAAGAAGGCCTGGTCATTCGAGGATGAACTGACCTCCCTCCGCAAGGAACGCAGTTCTGCCCGTCTGTCCCTCCAGGCCGTCGAAGAGGAGCGCAGTGCCCGCCGTGAAGCCGAGGCTGCACGCGCCCAGCTCGAAGAGCGCATGCTCGCCCTCAACAAGAAAAAGAAGAAGAGCACCCTCAACTGCTTCTAAGCGTTTTTGACTTTGAATTTGCTTGCGTGCTTGAGCTTTCCCAGCGTCAAAAACAATCGCATTATCGTCTGTCTTTATCGTTTTCTCTGGTTGTACACTTTTTTTAACCTTCTCTGTTACTCTTCTTCTCTTTTTATTTTCTTCGTCCCTTGTTCCATACCCCCTTATTTTATTCGATTCCAATCATCTACTCACCCATTTCCCTGTATTATGAGCTTTCACGTTTTTGTCACTTTCCCCCTGTCGATTCCGTCAATACCTTGTCCTATAGCCCTAACCCGTCCCCATCTTTTCCCACTCCGTTCTTCACATATTCCTTTTTTTTTTCTACTCTCATGAATCCCTCATGACTGGTAGATCCTTTTATCGATTTCTTATTCTCATGCTGAAAATCCTCGATATTGTACATTCCTCGGCTGTTTCGTGTCGAATCGTCATGTTGCAATCGCAGGGGATCTGGTCAGCTCTCAGTCGCTTTTTTCTGCTTGAATTTCATATGGATGATCTTCGCTCGTTCCTATTGAGTTGTTTGTTTCGTACATTCCTGTCAATGCAGTTTGCAATGTCGGCTTATTTCTTATCTCTGAGGTTGTAGAGTAAAAATTTGATAGGTTTGAAATTCACGAGTCTTCTTGAGTATTGACACCGACTTGCGTAGATAGATGTGCCTTTTACTAGGGGGGCCATACAAAAGGTACATATGTAAATGTTGGATTTTAGTACCATAATATTCTTTAAATTCTTATTATAACCTGTGCAGTATAATGATCCTCTCTGTTTAATCCCCACATTCGAGTTTCAGCCTAGGTTTAGGGAGTCGTCTCATAGTGTTATGATTTAGGGCTTAATCCTACCAACGTGCTTGACATACGATATATAGATTATGGGAACCTAGACTTTATGAAAACCTCGGTTTAACGAATATTTTGCTTTGTCTCAAGTGATTCGTTATAATTAGGATATACTGTACATGTATAGAGGCGTCCCTGAAACTTGCTTTTGAAACTTCATCAAAGCATTATCATGCCATTAGAATATTAGTGGTCGGGTAAGTGGTCTATATAGATAGAAGTTCCTAATATAATATGGTCGAGAAAAACCAGTGCTTACACATGTACCTTTTGTATAGTCTGCCCAGTAAAAGGTACACTGTATAACTATGGGTCTGCCTAGTAGAAGCTACTGTCGTATGGGCCCTCGTTTACCAGGGTCTGCAGCAACACTATAGTTGGTGGGCCGTGCGGAGATTTATTTAGACCTGATCGACCGTTTGAGCCGCGTATTTAGACGTAGCGTAACCCGCCCCCGGAAAAGACCCAAAAAGAGAATATAGACACTTTTTACTCTGCAGTAAGAGTCTAGCAGGTTCAAAGGTCTCTTGGTTTTGGCTCGACTTATTATGCCGTCTCAATACAACTGCTTACAGCCGCAACCTCCCCTATCGGCCGACGCCGATATAACTGGTCGTGGGGTATGTTTTGAACTACCTACCTATGTAATCATTATTACGATGAATTAATTCATGCTCAGGTGATTGCAAATTATGTCGCGACCGCCGCGATCGCAGTGCTGCTCATTATCATATATTTCTTCGTGGTTTACGAGCCAGCTCTGGATCCCTTTAGGAAGACAGACCAAGACCCTTTGGATGAGTCGTTTCGTCCCAAACCAATAGACAGGATGATTTTGCGGACTGTGCGGCATATACCTAAGCGGTTGATGGGCGCTCGCAAGGTCAATATCAATGCTCGAGTTGAGAATGGCTTTATTGAGGTACAGATACCCTTTGGTTTGAGCTGAAACCGACTCAACTGATATACTACAGTGCATCCTTGCAATGAGTGATCTCCAGGTTGTAACTGGAATTTCGATACTCATAAGTGGATATGCGCAACTTCCACAGGGCCTTTCATCCTTCCACTGGATGGTTATCGTCGACCTGGCCTGGTTTTCCTGTCTTACTCATTTGGCTTGCCTAACACTTCTCCGCAACCATCTGTACAATCATTCGCTTCAGCGCATATGGAGGCTGCTCTGTATGGCTATTCTTATCATACTGCTTACCGTGGCGCTCTCATTCACAGGAGGGTATGATTGGACTGCCTTCGAAGAATGGGGCTGGAAAAGTCAGGTGGCACTGAATATGATTGATCCCGCGATGTGCCATTTGAGCCCCAACTCAAGGTCAAGCATGGCATACTACGGTATGATTTTCTCGATACTGCTGATAGTATTCGGGTTTGTGGTCCGTATAATCAAGCTACATAAGACCATCTCTGTCGAGGTTTGGGAAAAAGCTACAGCTAAGCTTAGCATGCAAGTCAGCCATTTATCAAGCACTACTTTTGCTTGGTGCTGCTTGAATAGCTCCCCCAAGAGCCTGAAACGTACCCTTATCTACCGTCCTCTGCTGACGACCCTTTTGGTGGCACGTCTATTCCTAGATGGGTGGTCCTCGATGTTTTTCGAAGTGAGTGTACCTCAATTGTGTAATCATGTTTCTCTTTTATCTGACAGTGAACAAGGTGTGGTGGCTAATATTCAGCTTTATTTGGGGTACCATCCGTTTATTCGGAGTACTGGCCGCCATTCAGGCGACCGTGTATCTGGATCACCCAACACACGGGACGTCAAGACCTTACAAAGTGGCGCAGGACTCCGATGAGAGGGATAGTGACTGGGAGTTTGGACAGGTTGTGGCGCTTGTCTTACTACTTGCACCTCTGATCACAATCATTAAATACTTCAATCACGGTACTCCCTACACGTTCAATGCTCCAAAGTTTTGACATGAAGAGTTACTGACGGGATATTATTAGATGGTAAACAGGCCCCCGACTCCCCCGAGGTAGTCACAGGCTGCAGTGATGATACTACTTGCATATTATCATCTCATTCTGCGTCTCAATCGATTTGTCTGACTATTCCTCCTTTCACGCATGAAACCTCTAGTCAGCCAGATAACTCCAACAGCAGCAAGTGGGATGATCATACCCAAACTCTCGGCGCAGCAATAATCTATTTCATGCTCATGTGCGCTTTCATCTTGATAACACTCAGCATGACTCGCGGCACAGGCAACCCTCTAAAGTACTGGAAGGAACTATACCTACCTGTCGTCATCGCATTAATTGGCCTTTGGGGGGTGGTTTTGTTTTCATTGACTATTGAATTAGATCTTTCCTATATGCCTTTATGGGCTCAACGACTCATCCACCTGGTCAATATTCTGTTTTTTCTATCTAGTGCGACTAGCTCCCCTTTTCGAGGGGATCCACTTGGCTATTTCTTGTTCTTGATATCCGCCGTTGTATTTTACATCTTGTATGCTGTCTTCTATCGGATTCTGGAATCGATCTCTTCGAGAACAAGTGGGTAATTCGTGCTTCATACTGCTTTTTTGAACCACGTGGATCAAACATTCCTTAACATTCTCTTTGACCGCTTTGCGCCAAAGACTATATTCCTAAGGGCTAGAATCTCTTCTAAGTCCCTATCCACTCAACCTAGACATTTAGATAACCGCTCGTCGTCATTCTATTATTCTAGGATCTCTTCTTATTATAGCTTAATGATTATTCCAGAACTAGACATCAACTAAACCACCTATTTATATCCCCCCTAGCCTAAACAAGAAGGCAGTTAAGATTGCCAGTGGAAGAGCCACAATGTGGGCCCCTAACCCTGTACGCCCTTGAACATCCCCCCCGGAGGGTCGACCACAACACACCAGTCAACGCGCTTGCCAGTATTGTAGGCATTATAATTAAGATGGTCACCTCACGGTTCGGCTCTTTGATGACATGTATTCCCTATCCAAAGCACACCTCGTCGCAGTGAATAACCCTTTTGTCCTTCCGCTTAGGCAAACGTGGAAGCCAATCATTTCGGATAGGGTTCAAGTCTTTTTCACCATGCTCAAGACAGTGGATAAAGATTTCCGGTGGCATAGGCAGGTGCGGTGCTGGTAGTCTAGAAAACCCAATTCATAGCAATCGTCTGGAGGGGTGCTATTTGGTCGGTCGAAGACGGAGAAATAGCCGCCTCGGAGATTACAGAGCGTGAACTGGGTACATACATTTGAGTAACGACTAAGTAGTCCTGTCAAAAATCAATAGAATACTTGGATGAACTCAATGGCGATGGGCTTGACTAAGAATCTGAACCATGAGCGTATTCCTCGTGTCTTGAGATACTTATCCTTCAGCAGACCGAAAGCGATTGTATCTGACTTCACGCTAGATGTCTCGATCTCTGCTAATGTCTTATATATGGTACCTGTGTTAACGCAGAGCCCTAGGAATCTGCTCGTCCCTCGCTATTTTGGCAGTGATTCCGAGAACTTGTAGCAGTGTCTTAGACTGAATAACTTTAAAAAATAATTGTTTGCATAGAGATTAGTTGACAAGCATCGAATCGTTAATAGACCTATTTAATTACCGGCGACTTCCTGGTCACCGCCTACCCAGCCAGTCCTACAAACCCATCTGCCGCGCCAAGTCGGTAGCTGAATGTGGACGTCCTTATATGAGCTGGCCATTTGGGAATTGAAAAACACCATTTGAAGCTAATCAATGAGTGTCGTGACACGCCGAAGTCGATAGAATCGAGAAAAAAGAAAGAAAGAAAAGCAACAGAGTGTCGGGCCCCAGCCACGCACTGACCGTTCAGCTTAACATTCAGCGCTATGATATCATGGACCAGGGTAGTTTACAAATTACGCCTTGACGCTCGCACTTCACCACTTTCATTTTCCGACTCCTCCCGCCCAAGAACCCACTCGATAGGCCTGCTTGACGCCTGGGTGGACCCCATCACACTGGTGGCACACACCTAATAGGGGCCCTCCAAGGCGGTTGCTACGTTGTACACGACATCCCTGCAACCGCGTCAGCACGTGACACTTCAACTCATCCGTCGCTTAATCCCTTCTCTGCGACATAAACAACCCGTACCCTAAGGATGTCGCCTTTATCAGACCCCATGGAGAAGAAAATCACACCAACTGGGAATTTCGTGAATACTCCCCCCACACCCCCGCCCTTAGAAGAGAAACAGTTGTCGATCAGTGCTCAAAGAGTGCTGAACTGTTTCAAACTCCACTGTGAAGGTCGAAGGCCACAATCTTGGTTGCAACATCGGCTCACTCCGGACCAATATACGGAGGTTTTACGTGTACTAGATGGTGACGAATCTCTTCGAGGTTACGTAGAAGATAAAATAAGGTAAGTAATATCAATCTTTAGGTGCATTGAAGGCATGTTTATTGAGTTATACTATAGGCTTGACTACGACACCAGACGGTCCCGTCTCACTATCCGAATGCCGAGTCCTCTACATGGTTTGTTTTGTGCCGAGGTAGTCTCTAAAATTTTGAATCAATTGACAGAGTTTCAAAAGAGTGATGAAGCGTTCGGTGATTTTGCGAGAAAGATCAAACATTTATCGATATCTGGAATCCGGCTACCGAATGATACAAATAATAGAGAGCAGACTTATTCTGAACGGTGCCCAGATGCATCATTTATACACGAATATGCTAAATATCCCGGTGTTATTATAGAAGTGTGCTATTCACAAAAAGTTCGAGCTGCTGCGGACTTGGTAGATGATTATATCCTCGACACCAATGCGAGCGTGAACGCTGTGATTGCCCTCAATATTGAATATAGAGGGTCTAAAAAGGCGACTATATCCGTTTGGCGACCGCACAAAATTACCGTGGATGGGGTGAAGGAACTCGAAGCAAAGGCTGTGATAGAGATGATGGCACGTTCCTTTTCACCCGTCCTAAGAAACTTTGGCACTGACCGACGATTTGCAGCCTTTTCGAACGGAGTCTGGACTTCCAGTCGATGAATCTAAACAACCGGCGCTCCGGCTTTCACTTAGGGACTTTGCCCCTAAGAGCATCTCACAGAAATACCCCGATCTCGATCAAGATATCGTTATCTCATCGAGGGAGCTCTGTGACTTTCTTTCGTCTGCCGAAGCAGAACATCAGAAACAGCTGCTAGACCAAGGCGTCGATGAGCCATTGTCACCAGGCACGCGAAAGCGTCGTCGAGTCCAGACCCCCCTTGAACAGCTTAGTTCAGAAGAAGAATCCCCGAAGAACGCAATGAAACGCGGGCGCCTTACGCGAGATTCTTCCGGACTCTTCGCTCGCGGACCTGAAAGCTAAGCTATGGTGTGAATAAAAATCACATGAAAAGTCACCGGGTGGTAGGGTTATAACGTTATAACCCGTCATTTCAATACTTCCTCTTTCAGTTGTTGACCAACTCAGATCGCCATGGGTATGTGGAGCTGTGATATCGAGGATTGCGACAAGACCTCTGCTCGCATACAGAACAATCTAAGCTCCAAAGGGAATTTTTCTTTCCTAATGGGCATAATTATCCATTAGTCAATGTTAACAGAACTATTCAATATACATGATGAGTTGTTATAGTGCCAAGACAAAATCCACCTTAAAATAACCATCTCCGTATCTGCATCACATGATATACCCCACGTGTCTTTAAGCTTGTCGCAACGGCAGCTTCAATCTCCAAGCTCCAAAATTCAACATGGGCCTCCAACGGTCCAATGTGACAATAATCCACCCGGACCTCGGTATCGGAGGTGCCGAGCGGCTAATAATCGACGTCGCCCTAGCCCTTCAGAACCGAGGCCACCGCGTAACGATCTACACCTCCCACCGCGATAAGGCCCACTGCTTCGACGAGGCGCGCGATGGCACACTGGACGTCCGCGTACGCGGAAACACCATCTTTCCCGCCCATGTCTGCGGCCGACTTCACATCCTCATGGCTGCCCTGCGCCAGCTACATCTTACCGCGTCACTACTAGGCGAGCTTGGAACAAGGGGGACAGCTACCACAACCACTGACGAGGAGGAGGACTGCGATGATATCTTTATTGTGGACCAGTTGCCGGCCTGCGTGCCGTTTTTGAAATCGTTCGGCAGCCCGCGCCAGTCACGACGTCAGCGCATCCTGTTCTATTGTCACTTCCCGGATCAATTGCTCGCGCGCCGAGATGAGGGCGGCTCGCTTCTTCGCCTCGCGAAGGTGTTATACCGTTTTCCGTTTGATTGGTTTGAAGGATGGGCGATGAGCGCGTCAGATCGGGTTGTTGCGAACTCTAGGTTCTCCCGTGGGGTCGTGCGTGACGTCTTTGGCTCGGATAGGTTGGGTGATGTGGAGGTGGTTTATCCGTGTGTTGATATGGATTCCGGGGTACCAGTGCCCGAGAAAGTGAAAGAAGACCCTCTCTGGGGTGGGAAGAAGATTCTGCTCAGCATCAATCGCTTCGAGCGTAAAAAGGATATGGGGTTAGCGATTCGCGCTTATAATGGACTAGGAGCGGAGAAGAGGAAAGGGACGCGCCTGGTGATTGCTGGTAAGAACCTGTGCATGGATTTCTGATTTGGATACAACCTAACATGATATTTTGCAGGCGGTTACGATAACCGTGTCCACGAGAATGTTCACTACCACCAAGAGCTGGATGAGCTCGCGACCAGTCTCGGGTTGAAGACTGCAACTTCCAAGACAGTCCTTTCTGCACTTTCAATCCCCGACAACATCGATGTCCTCTTCCTTCTTTCTGTTCCCACTGCATTCAAAGATACCCTATTGGCGCAATCAAAGCTCCTTCTCTACACACCAATCAACGAACACTTTGGCATTGTACCTGTCGAAGCAATGCGCGTCGGTCTTCCAGTATTAGCATCTAATACTGGCGGTCCACTTGAGACAATTGTCGAGGGTGAAACGGGCTGGCTCCGAGACGCTCACGCAGATGAAGAGTGGACTGCTGTGATGGACAAGGCGCTTTACCGACTGAGTCGGGAGGATCTTGAACGCATGGCTCTTGCTGGCAAGAATAGGGCGCAGCAGGAATTCTCGCTCACTGCTATGGGTGATAGACTTGAAGAAGAGATCTCCACCATGCTTAAAGCTGAAAGAAGGCCGTTCAATGGGTGGCAGCAGGTCTTTGTCATTCTCAGTGCGGTTGGGGCTGTTCTTGCTGTGATGGCCGCAGTCTTATTTCGAGCGCTATAATCCATAGTCCAGGCATTACATAGGTGAACTTTACATTAATCTACTCTTTCTCAAGTTACACTAGTTCCCCCATCTTTTCTTTTACTGAACACTGTTCACCCTAAGTTCACAACCACTCTCACATATCAGTCACATGACCTCGTGTTTTGTTCGCGGTGACGTCGCGTCCCCCCTCTATCAATTCATCTTTATCCTTAGTCGCCGGCCCTAGTGGCATTGGGGTCTCTCAACATGCCCGAAATAATAGATCTCCTATCCTCCGATCCTCCTGCCCCACCAAAGCCCCAGCCGCCAAAACCGCGACAGGCAGCCGAACTCCCGTCGCGAGGTCCATCCCACCAGCTGAATCCGATTTCGTCAGACCCGTTCGATACATGTCTGTTCGATTATGAAGATGTCTTCGACAAGCCCGCCAAGAAACGGCGTGTGAGCGATGAAGTCACCTCTTCTCTGCGACAAAGCACCACGCCGAACGAACCTCGAGCTTCAGCTTCTATAGCGGAGCCTTGGTTTTCGATCTCCGATGATGATTTTGACCTGCCGCAAGTAAACGCCGCGACGCAGAACAAACCAACCCAGTCGCGTGTCGAAGAGTCGGACCCAATTGTCTTTACCTCTTCGGCCCCGGCTCCTTTGCCAAAGCCCCCATCGCGGAGATCACAGCTTTCAACTCGAGATATTATTGCGCTTGATGACGATGACATATTGACGGATCCCATGCCTCCGCCATCTAGCTTCCGAGGGCGTAGCGATATCGACGAATTCAGCGATCCGTTTGCTCTGCCGGAGTTTTCTGACCTACTGAAAAAGCCGACTGCCTCAACTCCTATCTTCTCCGAGTCGACTGCTCGTCTACTATCTCGCCTTGGCGAGGAACATACTTCAGGCCCTAAAGCAAAACCTGCTACTCGAAAAAAGACAGGGACCAGCTTGAAATCCACGGCTGCGGAGGTCCTCTCCAACGACGACGACGACATCGATGAGCCGGTAGCACCCCGGAAGACATCAAAGAAGACAAGCAAAGTTACTCCCGCTGAAAAGGAAGCCAAAGCCAAAGCACGCGAAGAGACGAAACTGCAGCGAGAACGAGAACGCCAGCTCGAGAAAGACCGCAAGCTGAAGCTCAAAGAAGAGAAAGCAAAAGAGAAACAACGGGCTGCCGATATCGCAAGCGTCAACAAGCTGAAAGTGAACAAAAAGGATTCCACCCCAGAGATGATTATTGACATGGCCACATCTCTCGAAGACAGCAGCGTCGGCACCCAAACTGTCGAGTTTATGAAAAGACTCGGCGTCGAACATACATACTTCACAAGCCCAATTCCGAACGTAGTCAAATGGCGTCGCAAAATGAACGCCACGTACAACAGAACCCTACGCCACTGGGAACCCTGTCCATCCTTCATTCAAAAAGAAGACCACGTGCTGTGTCTCTTACCCGCGCAACAGTTCATCAACATGGTAACCACACCACCAGATGACTCAGAAAGCGAAACCCTAGAAATCCACGTCCTGCGAATCAAAAGCGCCTACCCAGACTGCAAACCCATCTACCTAATCGAAGGTCTGACCGCTCTAATGAGGAAAAACACAAACGCACGAAACAGAGCATTTCAAGCTGAAGTCCTGCGCCAACTCGCCGAAACAACAGCCCCAGCACAAGAAGAACAAACCACAGCCCGCAGAGCTCGAAAACCAAAGAAAACACCCGACACGACGCCCCTCGTCGACGACGAGACTGTCGAAGACGCTTTGCTCGAACTGCAGGTCACACACTCATGTCTCATCCACCACACGACCGCGCCAGCCGATTCCGCAGAGTGGATTAAGAATTTCACAGAGCACATCTCGACAGTCCCATACCGTCGTGAACGACAGGAAGCACACAATGCCGCGTTCTGTATGGATACCGGGCAGGTGAAGACCGGCACCGATAAGCAGGATATTTTCATCAAGATGATTCAGGAGGTCAATCGTGTTACGGCTCCGATGGCATATGGAATTGCGGGACAATATCCCTGTGTTGCGGATTTGACTCGTGCGATGCGGATGCATGGCGCTATGATGCTGGAGGATATTAAGGTAGGTTTTTTCTTCCATTTTTCAATCTTTATTATTGGCTTTGTTTCGTTTCCATAGCTCCTTTGGCTTTGGCTTTGCTTTGTCTATCAGATTTTCACATGCTGACTGTTGTAGAAATCTGCGAACAAAAACGGCTCTTTGACGAATGCGCGTATTGGTCCTGCTGCTAGTAAACGGCTGTACAAAGTGTTCACTGGACTTGATCCGAGTTCCACGGACATATAGGCTTGTTTTTGTCTCGGTTGATTTTGGTTATTGCCATTTTCAGCCTGAGCTACTGCGGAGCGTAGCTTTGCATAGTCGATGCTGCATTTGTGTTGGATTTTTTTTTTGGTTAATTGCTCAGGTAGTTGGACTTCTGGTACCCTTCCTCGTCTCTTTTTTAGCTGGGAAATTGGATATTGCCTTCCAAATGAGGTAGATTCCTATTGGACTATGGGAATATCGCTATCGGCTGAATGCCAGTTGGTACAGGGTAGTCCAAGGAGTATGCCACCTAAAACACAGCAATTACCTCTTTTTCCATGCAAATGTTGTATTGGACCATCAATATCAATGTAAGATGACAGAAAACACCGAAATAATAAAAGCTGCCTAGCTATATGCAAATGCCAAACCATATCCACCTGGGCATGTAAAGAACCCAATATTGACGCCGATATAAAACGTAGATATCAAACAAATTAGACATCTCAAAGCCAAATCCCAGCAAACCCTACTAAAACACTAAACAACAACACCCCTCCTCTTCCAGCCCCTCCAAGCAGCCACCCAAGCCAAAACAGCAATCCAAACACTAACTGTGCAACCCACAGCCCAGAACCCATAGCATCGCCATCCATGGCACTGACCATCAGACAAGCCATCGCCATGATCCATGGCATTCTGATAAGCGGCGGAGTAGACGATACCCCACAATGCCGCACCAGCTGCAGGCATCATGGCGACGATACCCCAGTTCGTGGCGAAGTTCTCGACGCCCCAGACGACGGAAATGATGATAGGGGCGAGGGAGAAGGCGCTGCCGTACCCGAAGCCGATTAGGGCGGTTGTTAGGTTGAAGATTCCTGGGTGTGCTAGTGGGAGAGGGGAGGCGAGGAGGAGGTAGCCGAGGGAGAGGAGGAAGGCTGAGGGGATGAGGAAGGTCATGCGGGATAGAGTGAGGCGGGAGGATGAAGGGGATGTGGAGTGTTGTCGGGATCCTTCGGGGGGTGAAGGGAACAGGTGTGTTGCTGCAGGTGCGAAGAAGTCGGAGAGAGAGCCTGTTAGGAGGCGGGCGATGGTTGAGGTTAGGGCTATGGTAGTGACGTGTGTTGAGGGGGATCCGGCTGGGGGTGATGCGCCTGTGGGATAGGATTGAGGTGTGAGGGTTGGGATGATTGTGCCCAGCTTTGGGAAATAGGTTAGCTTTTGGTGTGGACGTGGGATTTTAGACTATACTCACGTTGTTGATGTACGATTCGCCAGGGCCGGTGACCAAGAAGAAGCCTGCGGCTAACCACCACATGGTGCTGTCTTGTAGGAACACACGGGTTTCGTAGTTGAGCAGCCAGTTCTTTTTCCGGCGCTCTTCTTCCTCGCGTTCCTTCTCTAGCCTTTGCTGCTCGCGCTCTTCCTCGGACAGAGTTGATTCCTCCTCATCGAATGCATCAGAGAACGTGCCGTACTCAACCGCTTGTCTGATTTCATTCCGCGGTCGGAAGAAATCACTCTCCTCCAGCAGTCCACTGCGCTCTAGTTCTTCAACCGTCTCATCAATATACTTGTCATCATCCTCGACGATGCGCAATGCAAAGGTACCGATGATGCCAATTCCCAGCAACAGCAGCGCCAGGAAGACGAAGTATTTAAATACGTCGAGATCACCGCGACTCCCATCTTCGAGACGTTCATAGAACAAATACATCCCGAGCTGGCTCTGCCACATACCACTCAGACCAAACGCCGCAATAGGAACAGCCAGCATAATGCCCTTATGCTTTCCTCTGCCGAAGTTCTTGGCGCATGTCGCAACAGCTGCTAGATACATGCAGCTCGTCCCCATGCCAATGGCAATAAACGCCACGATCATCACCCAGAACGGCCATCCAGAGCCGCCCGCATCGGCAGGTGGACCACTCTTATACGTGAATGCAGCTAGGATATACCCAATGCCAAACACTAGTCCCGAGAACATAGCCAGTGGCGATGGGCTGTACCGATCACACAGGTACCCGAACAAGGGGACGGGAAGGTACATTGCGATTTCCGCGGCGATGGAAACAGCATTAACCTGGAGCTGCGAGTAATGGAGTCGGGTAAGGAGTAGATGGCCGTACAGAGAGAAAGCAGTGATACTGCCAGCTCCCAAGCTACAAGACACGCAGAGTCAGCTTCCAGGGCTTCATTTGAGATCTTCTGTTAAGTATAACAGCAAGGATAAGGGTTTCCCATACCAAGTAACAACACCCCAGCCAAAGCTAAGCACTCGAATAACCTCCTTCTGCATTTTCCGTCTGTCACGCTCGACAATCTCCTCAACGACATCGTTCAATAGCCCGTCATCACTTCGTAGAAATCCGTCGTTACCGGAGCTCCGTGAATTTCGTGACCCGGACCTTAACCGTGATGGCTCTGCGCCTCGGTCAGCTGGATCTTGTTCTGTGTCGATATCATGGAGGAGCGGGCGATTCGCGTCAAAATCGCGCTTATCGATCGTCATAGTGCCTGCTTTCTCCGCACCGACGGCGCTAGGCTGTACCCGCTCGTTGCTGAGGGCAAGTGCAAGATAGGTTGGTGTATATGGGTATGGAAGACAGGAAGGCTTTTCAGATCGAAATATGAGGCGTTCACGATTTGGCGATCCTGAGATGCTGAGGATGATCGTCTGGGAGCTTCAAGGGCGGGGAGCGGTGTCAGCTGGGTGGATCCCGAGGTTGTGTTGTTCAATGCTACGTCATTGGAATTCAGCTTCTGATAGGATGTTATGTTCACTGCAGCATTATTGAGGTACAAGGTAATGTATATGTTAGTTAAAAAGCGTGGTCGTCAAACTGAGGGGGAAGAACTCCAAGAGCGGAGAGAGTTGGAGTCATTTCACGTGACTCATTATAATCTATATCCGATCACGTCATTTTAGAAGATATATTGTGAAATAGTGAAAATCAAGGGAAATTGGCCATCTAGAGATATAACGGATAATCATGTACAAGTAAGATCATGCAGACCGAAAAAAAAGAATTTGGAGACATTGGGGGTATTATCAATATCAAAACAACTGAAAGAAACTGATACACGCCCGAGAAGAAAGACAAAAGGCTTCTGTGAAACAAAAACAAAAAGGCAAAGAAACTCAAACGACTCTAAATGCATCCAAGCGTTGACGGGGATCATAGAAGCACCCATTGAAGGGCTGGGTCGTTATTTCGTAGTGTCGGTCAGGCACTGGTGCATATGAATGCTGGCGTTCCAATATGGAAGAGTCTATCCTCCGAACGCCACGTATCGGCAGGGCCGAGAGATGATGAAAAACAAAAAAAGCAAAAACAAAAACAAAAAAAAGAACTAGAAACTGACTTCGCCCGCGTCGGTTTCCATCATGGTTTCATCCCAATACTGAGCAGAGGGTCTCTCACGGGCCGCAGGTTGAGAACCCAGAGCGATGGCTTCACCTTCACCTCGTTCCACAAATTCGTCCAGAGTCACCTCTTTCATGATTCGCTGGAAATACATCCGGAGTGTGCGGAGGCCACGCAGATATCCACGATCAATGTCGTGCGGGGTGTGAGGTGGACATGGCGTATCCGGAGGAAGTTTGTCCTCGCCAGTAACGCAATTGGCGAAGTCGACAATCTTCAGTTGAACGTTCAGTCTGCTCTGGCCGTCATTGGACTTTCCGTGTTTATCGCCAGAACGGGGTCCTTGCTCAGTCGGAGCTTGTGGTTCTCCGTCATAAAGAATCAAGAGACTGCTAGCATACAGCCGGTACCTATCTAGCTGTCGGATCATGTGCTCTAATAAAGCTAATTTTTCCAGAATGACAGGGATCTTTTTGGCAACACTGGCATAGCTGACGCCGTCATAAAGGAACCGAGTGAGCGCATCCTGGAACTCACGACCAGATTTCAAATCCCGTCCGAAATACTTGTCTTCAAAGATGTACTCCTGCTTCTTAACGTTCCAAGTCTGCATGCCACAGAGCCGCACGCCCAGCTGCTGCGAAGTAGTGGACTGACATTTTCGTCGCTGGGACTTCTTCTTCTTCTCATTCGCCTCGATGCCATACTGTCGGGTGCCCATCTTCAAATCCAGCACGCATGGTTTATTCATACCAGCGGTCAGATCCTCAAGGAGGAGGAAGAACTGCACTCTCTCGTCCTTTCTCAGCTGTGCCTCTTTAGGGTTGCTGGGTAGAGCCGTAGTGAGAGGCTCTTTGGGTTTGAAGCGAGTTGGATCAGAAGTTATACTAGAAGCAAAAACTTCGGTTGCAGGGTGACCATTGGTCGAGTGATTTTCTGAGGCTGGTGAAACCGATAGTTTCGCGGTGGAAGAAGTCGACATCGAAGCATCGGCCTCCATCGAGAAGATGTCATCCTCCTTGTCACCGACATAATCATCGTCATCGAAGAACAGAAGCTCTCCATTGTTGCGAGAGTCCATGCTGCCGCGTCTCTGGAGGCCACTTCCGGAATGACGCCGTCTTGTGTGAGAAGCCCGAGAGAGCGAGCTTGCTCGGTTGGGCTCCTCTTCGGTCCGGATCTTATCAAGGCGGTTTTGATTGGCGTCTAGAGCGGTCGAGGCTGACGATGATAGAGCAGGGCCTTCATTAGGGGGCACCTTTATGTCAATCGCTTCTGTCTTCAGAGCTTCGATTTGCCCAGAGAGTGGTCGTCGACTGCCGGCTGTCTGGTCTTCTGATAGGTTCTCTCGGCGGCGTGTGGTTGCGGGCATGTCGGAATTAGCTCTGGGCAGATGGACATGGCCGCGAGCATGCCGTCGATGATGATGAATGGCAGGAGGGCTGAATACCTCGCGGAGAACCTGCTCCTGAAGCTTGAGATTGACGGTTGTGGCGCCCCAGATCTTGGCCCGCTTGCTCAGCGCCGACGGATCAGACTCCACTGACATACCCTCGAGGCCATCAACGGATCGTGCGCGGTTTATTGAAGCATCCGCTGTGCGCGGGCGCTGCTGGCGGGTAAAAAGATCGGCAGGAATGATGTGGCGATTATTCTCAAGAATGACCTTGGGAATGACCCCTGTGACTTGGGACTGGCTAACAATTCGCTGTGGGGGTAGTGACTCTGCTGCCTCGAGAAGCTGAGAGCTGAGCGCTGAAGTTCCATTGCCAGCTGTCGCCTCTTGAGTTATCCCATCGGCAGAATCAACCTGATCCTTTCGTTTAGATGTCTTCGAGAAGGTGACATTCAACACTCCGATGTATCTGACCGGAATATTAGTATTTGATACGCTGATAACCGTCTGGCTTTGATGGAATATATTATACTCACTTTGGGAGAAACACAAGCATATCTGGGTGCCTCAGTTCAATGCGTTCGTAGAACTCATTCTCTCGGTTGTTCAACTGCTTGCATACAGCGCGTCTGGAAAATCGGAAAACAGTTGTGTGCCCGCCAACTTGATGTCGATAGGGCTTCAATTCCACGGCACCAAGAGGCCCTGGGGGCGGGGGTTTGGGGCGAGAGAGAAGCCGGGATGTCTGAGTCGGCGTGGCAGTTGGAGTTTCCGCCTCATCAGTCAGCTCATTCGCAGATTGCATACTTTCATCGGCTGACTGAGGTTCGACTTCGGACTCGTATGCTGCATCATAGCTGCATTCAGATATGGTACTCAAAGGCTTGTCTGGCAGATTCTCTCGTGGAGAATGGATATCGCCATAAAGGATCTTACTTTCATTCTTAGATCGAAAGGATATATCCACATGGCTGATTTCCTTTTCGGGAGAATCGCTACGCTCTGGTACTAACATCAGTTCATGACCTTTATCCGCAGCCGACAGCTGACCCGGCTGTACATCATGAGAGCTATCGGGAAATTGTTGTAGCGCATCAGCGCCATCAGGGACTGTACGCTCGTGGGGGAAGTAAACCGCAGAAGAGATCTGCTCATTTTCCTCCTCCTCAACCCCAAATTGCCTTGCTTCACGACGCTCCTCTTCCTCGAAAGAGCTAGTCGGGGAGACCTCAAGGCTAGGATCCGCCTGGAAGTAGTCACGGGTGCGCTCTGAATATTGAGTTGGAATGCTTTCGGAGAAAGAAGATCCATGGCTACCGCCAGGCGTGAGATGGAAATTTCGGATCTCTTCCAGCAAGCTGCGAGGCAACGCTGTAGGACGACGCTTAGAGGGCACATCGTCTCGTATGGTCTGAGAGGACTCAGTCGGAAGTTGGAAAGACGGAGCATCGTCAAGTGCGGAGAGTGATGTGCTTTTACGAAGCGAAGTTTCCTGCTCTGAACGATGTGGCTCCTGTTCATAATCCATCATGCCATCCCTCGACTCCGTCTCATCTTGTGGTCGGCCGCGATCCTCCCGTCGTTTGCGATCCGGCGAAGAAGTGGTATTTTCTTTGAAAAGACCCAGGTAGTGACTGGACTTGCGGCTGCGCACATTAGAAGCCGGCTCCGAATTGGGTAAATTGGCTTCAATTGAGCTGTCAACTCGGCCACGACGACCTCTGCTAGGGCTTCGTTCAGGCGCAACAGGGGTCTGGGTGGGTTCTTCTGTAGGACTGTAGGATAAGAGATCCCGACTGACCTGGGAGCCCGGGCCAGAGGACAGGAAGGTCAAAGAGTGGGAGGTACGAGCGACATCATCTAGTGTGGACGGGAAGAGATTCCGTTCAGGTAACGCGCCTTGAAACCGACTGGTTTTCGTACCTGTGTTATCCAATGGCACCTTGTACCGCTGGGATCCGCCCAAATGAGCCTGCACGCCCGTCTCTACCTCCGTTTTCTTGTGATCAGTCGGCGAGGTGGATGCGCGCAGGAGAGACAAACGAGGAATATCGGTGGATAAAAAGAGGGCAGAGGAACGCAGTGGAGAGTTTCTGTGGACGTCAACTTCCATGTGGGAAGGGTCGACGTTCAAACGGTGGGGAGAGACCTTGGAGAATGCACTTGGAGACACGGATGCATCGTCGAGGCGAGGGATCAAGTTGACCTGGCCTTCATTGCCCAAGGCCTTTTCGGGGGGTAATTGTGGGGTAGTTGCGGCACTATCTGAGGGAAGGTAATGAGTAGCAAAAATGCTGTCACGTTCTGACAGCTGAGGCCTGTAGACAATATCCGGATGTGCGGTGTTCTCCGGAGGTGTGGTCGCGGTCCTTTTTACAGGAGAAAGTCGGGACACGGGTAGAGACCAAGCATGGGTGGGAGATTCAGCGCGCGATGGTGATAATACCTCCCTAGGTCCCTGGGACAGATGCTGGAAGTGACGCGGGGTACTATCCTTGGAGCAATCATGTTGGGCAGGTGTAGCAGGTGTCACCAGGGGGTTAGGCAAGGTATCTTCGGGAACGGACGGCGAGTTTGACATGAGGAGGACATTGGTCAAGTACAGGTTGGGATGGTATCGAGCGGAAACCGGAATGGTTAGTCGTAATAAAAGATGATTTTTAAACTAAGAGAAGGAGAATGATAGGCATCAGAATATTTTTTTATTCAAGAGCACGTTGTTGAAAAGAGAGATCTTACAGGCCGGGAAAAAGCCGCAGGGAATGGGGGAATGAGAAGAGAGTCAAGGAGTTGATGGAAGTTTGAAGGCCGGATCGTCACCGCCCTTGAGTGGATCCGGATTTTTTCAAAAACAAGATCAGGAGGGAAAAATATATAGAAAAGATAAAGAAATTATATAGAAGATAAAAGGGAAAATCAAAAAGAAATTTTGGAAAATTTGAAAAATCGGGGAGTTTGCCTCTTTTTCAGGTTTATGCAAGAATACAACGGACTCGGTCTATCTTCGTACAACGTCTTACAGATTCCGTTTTAAATCTCTTCTGGCTAGAGTTCCTAGAGTATTCAGTATATTGAAGATCATGGAATCCCCGGAATGATATAGGGATATATAATGTGAATATAGGCTTTCAGTTTCAGGATTTTCAGGAACCCCTTTCAAGTCCGAATATTTTCATTGGCGTTTCTCATTGATTCCTACGCATCTACCAATCATCTCTTTTAACGCATAACGTGCAGCTATGACGATCGCTTATAGGTGTTGATCCGAAAGCAACTCTTATTCACATCTTATACCTTATGTAATTAGATATCTTCACGTTTATTCTTCCCCGGAGTCCGGGGTTAAGCTCTTAGGCTAAGATCAAGGCTTATACAGACCGTAAAGGAACTAACCTAAACGTCTCAGATTAATTGTCCCCACTTTGAAAAGCCACGAAAATCACCTTATCTTGAGGGAAAACCAGTGGGAAAAAAAGATGTATTCAGCCAAGACCAAGCGGTATAGACCGTATAGAATCAAAATTCTCACTACCTATTAAGGGTTATTAAATATCAACCATTTCACAAAATCATATATAAGATATATAATCCCAACACACTTATATGTCAGCATTCACTTCCAAGCTTATTTTCCACAAAAGCTTGGACATAAGATATTTAATAAGAACCCAACAGCGCCTAAGATGTGATGTGATGGGTGATTGGGAGCCGAGCGGGTCGTGGCCCAACCAGAGTTCTCAGTGAGGTGAAAGTAGATGCATTAGTTAGGAAAACAAGGATCTCAACGAACCATCTTCCCTGCAAAAGAGACAGAGATTATGGGAGATCCCCGCAGACCTCTGACTTTTGTACTCCCCGCTGACAAGGCTCCTACGGTCTTTCTCTTTAATGCTGGCTTCCTTCGATTATGCGCCTTCATTCACACAGATGTGGCTCTGGGCACATTGCCGATCGTTCAGCCTTTCTGCTTCCTACCGTGGGAAAGCCGTTGAGTCGCATGTCCTAGGTTCTCACTTCACCCGACCAAATCTACTATTTTACTATTGAAAAAATCTCCAGAGTTCTATCTATTTACTTAACAGATTCATGAGAAAGCCTACTGTGAAGTCAAAATGAGTCGCTTGAACCTAGATACCACAGTAGGAGGAAACCAGAGGTATTCGTTTATGGAAACACCAGTCGAAATGCATCCATCCTTCCAACGGAATCTATCCAATCCCCCAGCGGAACCAAATGCGCCCCCACATCCTGTGGAAGAACCAGAGCGACAGCGAGCATGGTCATATGCAAGTGAGAAAGAGCAGCAATTTCAGAATCAGGGAATAATCCCAGACTATGCCAACTGTCCGCCCATCGAGCAGCACCCGGCCAATTATGCGCCTTTGGCTCGGAACCAGCAGCAACAACAGCAACCGCAACATAACACAATGTCCCCTCAGACCTACGCAATTGCGCCCGAGCAGCATCCCACTCAACTTTATACCCAGTCCTATACCCAGTCGTATACAAACATAGCCGAACAAAGTCGCACCATGACTCCTCAGGCGTATGTAAATCAATCGCATACAAATATACCCGAGCAACAGCAACAATGGCACCAACAAATTGGGATGACCATATCTCCTCAGTATGCGAACGTACCTCAACAAGACAGCACTCCCATGTCTCCCCAAACATATGCAACTCATTCATATGCGACACAATCATATACCCACATCCAGGACCAACAGCGCGACATCGAACCACCCATCCAACAATATGCCTCGTATCCCGAAACTCCCAGCTCACCACCACCGATCTCGCCAGGGCCACTGCCCCTGAAAGTAAACCCCGAAGCTCCAGCACGAAGCGAAACAATGCCCATTGTCCCAGACGAGAATCCCCTCCAGTCACCCAAGTCACCATATTTCCCTCCACCCACTAGAGCGGCGACATCGCGCACTCCCCAGCCAGATGACCTGAGCGCATACCACCAGCCCGGTCAATCCATGCATCCAAATCAGGAGACGAAGGGGGGAGGATGGAGCAATGGACTGTGCGAATTTTCGAATTTCGGAATCTGCTGTCTGGGAATGCTATGTCCGTGCATTTTGTATGGGAGAACTCAACATCGACTCTCAATGAAATCGAGGAAGGAGGACCCGACAAACATGCTCGGTTATGAGACATGCAATGCGTCGTGTACGGGGATGGGATTGCTATGCGGATGTCAATGTAAGTCTAAGTCCAAGTTCAACTCCAAGTCCGGTTCCGAGCTTGAGTGAGATTTGCAATGCGACCGAGCAACCGAAAAAATAAGCCACATTCTAACCAGCACAACAGGGTTACTGGCCACCATCCAACACACCAGAACGAGAAAGGCATATGGCATCCAGGGTAGTATAATGTCCGACTGTGTCCGAGCTACCTGTTGTACATGCTGCACATTGATCCAAGATGAGAAGGAGATCCAGAAGCGTGAGGAGTATCGCTCTCGCGTGGCCAGGGAACGGGGGGCGGCTCTGCTCTCGCCGTATACTACCCCCGGGCCGATGTCTTATAGTCCGCCACCGCGATGATGCACTATGTCTAGCGAGGGAGTAGGGTTGATGGCATGAAGTCTTGTGTAAATGTATACAGTTTATGCATTGTGATGTGATAAGCGTTTCTCGTTTGAAATTTGACATATTTGATTTTGGACACTGTTGTATGTTGAAGGGCATTGTACGAAGTACTTCCGTGGCCTGTCGGCTTTTCCAATCTACAGGTGTGGTGTGATCAGGGCTGCTGTTACACAAGTAGAACCCCTACTTTTTAGCGTTGCAGATAATTGTATGCGGCTGGTGAAATGTGATATATCATATTGCCACCTCGTTCCAAACTTCAATGGGAATGGTGAGGGGAGATGTCTGGTTAACTACCTTAGCCTAGGCACACGGAGAACAAAATATAACTCAGAATTGATTGATTCTTGTGAAATCAAGAAGAAAATTCATCTCTTCATTTCTAATCACCTATTTTACCGCAATATATAACCCCATCGCCAGATCCACCCAGGCTCCAAAGTTTCATAGCCAATAATTGAACCCTGTCAAGTTTACTACTCCGTGCACAGGATCCTAATGGAAATCATCAAACCTTGACATTGGAATATTGAGTATCCCGCCCACCAAATATCAAGCCAAAACCTGCGGGTACACGGAAGACTCTAAGCGATGCCAGCCAGCCATTGAACTGAACCGTCTAAGGTTCCAAGATTAAAAGGTAACAGTTCAGAACAGAGGAAGAAGTAGCAATGATCGCCCCCGGGATGTATCATATCCACAAAATCAAGAAAGATCACGATCGGACAAACCAACTGGCGGGTCGATACCAATAAGCCCCGATCTCATGATCTCACCGGGGGAACGGGTCGATGCGCCACGATGATCCACCAAGAGTCTGCGGAAGACTCCGGACGAAGTACGGAGTACTTTGTACATAATTACCGAACCCTCAGCCCCAATATCCCCGGCTGCCAATTTACAAAGTCCCGGCGATATGCAAGGCGATACATCGAAGGGGCGTGTCGACCATAGATATTCACCTTGGAAGTCCACTATAGCTGATATATCTACTCCGTACTAGTAACGGCAACTTCGGGACTATTCCTAGAGGCTGGCGCCGGCGTGGAAATATTCCCCGGGAAATGCTGATAGTGTCAAAGCCCTTGTTCAGAGTAAGGTTTGAATATATGGGGATCACAGATGTTAGCCGGCTAATATGTAAGGATGGGATACATCAACCCAGTGGTCATTGCTGCGGAAGCAGTCATTCATCTAAGGTTATATTTTAGAGTTGAATAATGTGAGACCTGTTCATTGCCTTCTCTGGGCTAGTTTTTGGTTCGCTCTTGCATAGTTTATGTGTATATATTAGATCTGGGATTCCTGCATCGCGCTGATATTGGCGTTTTTATTCATTTAAAAAATTACTTTATATATTTTGTTGATACGTGCGCTATGGCGGATTCAGTTGCCCAGACCGTCCATGGCTATGACCATGATAACTTACGCCATGTAGTTATCACTTCAACTTGCTTTGCCTTCATCTTATCTACTACCGCAGTCGGATTTAGGATTATCTCTCGAATGATTAACGGGAGTGGTCTTTTTCTAGATGACTGGCTTATTATTATTGCGTTGGTGAGAAGAACACCTCGAATGTATCTATGTTAAGACTAACGTTTGGAAACAGATCTTCGAATATGGTATATCGATAGCAGGAGTTGTGTGTACGTGAAGACTATTTACACCTAATCCAGCCATCAGCTAACGCGAGGAAGTACTGTACAATGGGCTTGGAACACATATTGTCGAGCTCTCCCCTGAACAGATCGTTGTCTATCTGAAGGTATGATATTGCATTCGCATCACTGTACACTGAATATGCGGACCTCCACTGATAAAGATACACAGACACTATTTACAGGCTCGATCCTCTACACCAGCTGCATTGCAAGCATCAAGCTATCCATCCTGATGCTCTACCGCAGACTTTTCCCTGTTAAGACCATGAAATATGCCGTCAATGTTGTATCTCTAATTGTGATTCTATGGGCTGCATGCGGTGTTCTTGCAGGCTGCTTCACTTGCATCCCAACCGAGAAACTGTGGCACCCCATGCTTGAAGGTGGTTGCATGGATCTCTCCAAGTTCTACTACGGTCTTCAGGTTCCTAATATTGCGACGGACGCAATAATCCTCCTGATGCCCATGCACATAGTATGGAGACTTCCCATCTCTAAGACTCAGAAGCTGGGTCTTTCTGGGATTTTTATTTTGGGATTTTTGTAAGCTTTTCACTACCTGTCTTTATGCCAAATGTTCCTCTAACATAATGTAGGACTTTAATATTCGATATCATTCGTCTGGTTGTTCTGATCCAGCTTTCTACCCAGGGCGAGGATATTACATGTACGCATTTCCTCTTCCAATTACATCTATGAGGACTATTTACTGATACCCAAACAGATAATCAAGTCCCAGCAAGCGTGTGGACATGTATCGAACCCGCTGTCGGAATTGTCGCAGCCTGTCTGTCAAATATGAGACCTTTGTTCAAGGTGCTGCACACCAAGGTCTGGTCTAGGCTTTCCAGCCAATATGCCACCAATACGAGCAGTACCGGCGAGTCACATATCAAGAAGAAGAACGGTTGGCCGCGCCAGACACCTAGCCCCACTGGTGATGGGGGTAATTCTCCTAGTCCCAGTGGTGATTTGAAGCAGTCGCCGACCCATACCCAATCTGCTGTGTAAAGCAGGCGTTGAAAATATTATATAAACTGGAGTTTTCCATTGTCTTTGTGATTCCCTACCCACCACAAGGAAGCCAGGATCGCTTTGTTGGCATTTTCCAGATCTGTATCATGAGGGAAAGAACACAAAGAATCCAAACAGTGCCATTGTCTTTTGTCTCAACTAATTCTGAGCTAATACACCAAGTCATTGACTCAGTGCAAAGAAAAGCCTTTGGTACATTTCTTTCTCTATTGATATGTCTTCAATGCATAGCTTAGATGAACAGGAAACGGAAATCATAAATACCTCTTATCCCGGCAATCTCCTAACTAAATCAATCAAGCAACCCACCTTCAAAAATCCGAGAACAAGGTCCGCGCTCTTTTTTTATTTCAGTCCAATCAATTTCAAGGCTTTAAGAAGAAGACCTAGGTAAGTTCCCATTCCATAACTCTGCTTATCCTTCCAGGCAAGGATGTCTAACCGCGAGCCAGCACACTCGCAATGGCAGAAGAGCTTCCAAAAGGAGTGCCGCGCATTTGTAAAAGAGGCAGAGGCTCTAGCTGATTACGCCAGGCAACATTCAAATGATTATAAATATGAGCACGATGACGATATTTGTAGAGGACTTATAAGTCTATGGTCTCAAATGGCGCGAGTGAAAGACACCGGACTTGATATGGTTGCGGAAACGCCGAGATGTTCTCTCGTTCTCAAGGAACGCAGCTTTTGGTTTATTCGGGCTCTGGCAGATCAGACGGAGTTTGAAGACGAGTGCGATGAAATAGAGGCTCGTCTAGATGGACTGGCATTGAAGGTTGAACGTCGCGAGTTGGAGAACCTTTGGGTTGCTGGAGTGCTTGAGTCAACGGCTTTGTATATAAAGGAGAAATTTCATGTATAGATGGTGATGTTTAAATGGAACTCCTATGTTTGCTGATTCGTGATTAGGTCTATGGATAGGCTTTGATTGTATGCCCAGAATGTAAACATACGGGGAACAAGAAGGGTTGGCGACTTATGTGGCCTATGTGCTTGACAAAATGATTGAATAATAATCTAATCTATTTGGTTCAATATGATAATACGGGCTTTACGTGAGATATATCTTTAATAGTGCATTTTTTAGTGTTTTAGCTACTCCGTAGAAGAATCCGGCAAAGGTGTGCAAGTCAAGCCTTCATTGTTACATCACTATATAATTATGTATTTCAGCCCTTTACGTATTAAACTAGTCAGAATCTTTCACGATAGCATCAGATCAGCAGTACAATCATGGCCCGTACTTCGGCTGTCAATGCATACCCAAATTGCCTTCTATGCGGAGTGGAGGTTTACGCGAAGGATTGCTCTCAAATCACAAAGCCGCCCAGTTCAGCTACCTTCTTCGGAGGAAATCAGCGAAAATACTATATGACAGTCACACCAGCTCATGTGGTGGTCTCATCAAAAGAGGTAGAAGAGGCAGAACTCCCGGGGTCCCCCAGAATGTGGTCCAGCATGTGTCGAGCCAGTGAGTTTACAAAAGCGCTCTAGATCCAATTTACTCTAATCGCTATAGTGATCAAATCGCCCCATAACGAGTTCTTTCTGAGTGGTATCACTGAAATTCAAACGGATCATACTCGTCCTTACATCGTTCCAAAAAAAGTCCTAGCATGGCGCGCATCGGCGGGAGATCACATACTCTTAAATATGATGATAACTTCATTCAATTCTACGCAGCAGACATTAAAAGACAATCGAGTCAGTTCAAAAACGAGCATATCGGGTTTATTGTCCATGCCCACTGCTGGGCTCTTCTCAACCACGTCATACCAACAACTTTGGTTGAAAAGAAAATGGACAAATTTATTTGTGTTGCGCAAGACTACTGGCGCGACAATAAATCGTGGGGAAGTACTAGCTCCCCGCTCCGGCTTGAGAAGTATTCTGGCAAGTGTCTAGGGTCTATGCCTCGGTGGAAGTACGGGAGCGATATCTACAAGAATCCTCTCATAGTGTCCGGGGTTCAAAAAGCAATTGACACAGCAAAGAAGTACAAGCAGAGACATATTCAACCCCGTTGCAGTAATTATAGTAACGTTCCCTTGGATATTGCGATTCTGATCGCCGAGTGGATTTGCCCCATTGACTATACTCCGGCTGATGTGAGGAACACGAGAAATATGCTTTCTGCATGGCAGTGGGAATTGCCTGATGGGTTTTGGAAGAGGTGGCTAAGAGAGGAGGATATAATATTTGAATTGGAAGCACCCAGGGAGGTCAACTATTCAATCGATTGGCAGAGCCTACGGCTTGATTTGATGGCTCTTGTTTCTGATCGGCGGTATGTCTCGAGTGGCTTGGTGAATCGTGTGCGAGTCCTTGGCTTTATGACTGCCATTGCGTCGGATTTTCTCGACATGCACTGAGGGTAAGAAAGATTGCTGCAGAAGGACTTACTAGATAGCTTGATGTGAAATTAATCGCCATGTTGGTATACCAGACTCTAATCTCTCTTCATTAAAAAGAATTAGGCTATGTGTCCTGTATCTAAAGATGGGATATTCAGTAAAGAACAATACAGCCTTGTAGTAGCAGATGGGAATATCGATATTGCCATCTCTTGTTAAGCTTATATTTGTAGTGTCCCTGGATGGGGGATCTGCACTAATTATGGGCAATGTACTTGGTACTTATTTCAAGATGGTAATAGATGAGTACAACCAGGTACCAGGTACTTCGATTTACATTAAGCATAAACTCAGCCATTTTGGGGGCCAAGCAATGCCTTCACGCCCATATTTTTTTATTACAAGTGCTAAACTCTTAGTTCACACTATGCACGGAGTACTGAATGTAGTAAGGCGCCGCCAAGATAGCTAAATTGCATCCCCGCGACCTAACCCACATGACCCGAGGCGCATGGACGCTCCGATAAAGGCGTCCTTGAGAGGCGTTTTCTCCTTTTTCTTTTGGCTTTTGCCTGCATATGCTCTCTCGAGCTTTACGATATTTACCAGTCACACGGTAAGCCCAACATGCGCGGTCTCGACGAAAGCACCGATGTCTTTGTACGTACTGGCCAGAAGGCCCAGGAGCAAGTGCGACATGCTTGGGATGGCTTTATAAATTTTGCTGCGCGGGATAATGTTCTCGAGGTTGCGTTGGGCTTGATGTTAGTTCTCTCTCTTGCATTGCCCGACAATCAAAGTGTTGGAGAACCACCCTGCTAACATCTAGATCCTACTTAAAGTATAGCTAATGCGTTTACCAAAGTCGTCACATCTTTCGTATCAGACCTGGTTCTGCCTATTGTCTCTCTATTGCCATTTCTGAACCGAAACATGGATGAGAAATTCGCTGTCCTCTCAAAGGGTCCGAATTATGACCAGCAGTATGGATATAATACCCTCTATCAAGCGAGAGAAGATGGAGCACTGGTTCTGGCTTATGGGTATGTGGACCTATCTAAGCTACCCATGGATGATATTCTATTCGTCAGGTTTAACACAGATTTATGCAGATTGTTTATTGAGACAGTGATCAACTTCATGGGTGTCAGCCTTACTCTGTACGCAGTCGGACATTTGTACATGCTTGTCACTCATGACAAAATCATTAAGCCCACTGTTCGGTGTCCATACTGCAAGCAGTACATCGGTGAATCGGTAAGGGGTTGATCGAATGTGTTGTTTTGCCTCCGCTAACTGTTCAAAGGCGCTTCGCTGTCGCCATTGCTCAACATGGCAAGACGGAAGGGAAGATGAGCCTCGGAGTGATAGAAGTTCTCGCGGGGAGCTGGCTGATGCTGGGTCGAGTCTTGTTGGGGAAGCTCCCTAGAGAGTAGTAGATAGCGGCGGACTTTTGTGAGGTATAGATACGGTGATACGGAAGTCGTTTCCTTTTGCAGATTAGCGAGTCTGATTATACACGGGTGGATAATTTGATTTCTGTTAGTGTCGAAATTGACCTTTAAGGCCATGGAAAGACAGCTTGATTTGTTACAGATGAATTGGGATTGTAATTAAATGTACAAGAAGATCTATAATATATAAGCCAAGAATGGAGGATCAAATCTGAATGTCTATACGTTTATATCGACCACCATTCAAATTCAGTCATATCCTGTACCGGCAAAGTATGCTGTTGGCGGCGCCACGTCCTGCGAGCATGCTTGACAAACTTCTCTGCAGGAGACCAGGCTGCCTCCCAGGTCGCAGGTTGTCTTAGCGTAGTTTTAGACTGGAGAATACCAAAGCGGAAATCAAGTGGATCAGGAGTGGATGCAGGAGACGGTAGTCGCATGTAGTAGCGGATGCTGTCAGGAAGCTCCTCAGGCACATGGCTGACCATGATCAAGGCTTGGTCCGGTGTAAGACCAGTGAACCGGAATGCCGCCTCAACTGAACCACGGGGTTTGGCATTAAGAGCACGGCGTTTAGGTCTCTCGCCAATTTCCAAGAATTGCAAGCACGCGTTACGCTGTGCTGCGGACATGCCTGAGAAAGCTTCGTCGAGGATAACAATGTCCGGCCTGGTGATGAGGGCCCGGAGGAAAAGCACAATGCGTTGTTGTGCGGGGGTGAGCTCACCGAAGAGAATGTCATCCGCGTATCCAACAACGTGATCCATTGGGAAATACGGCTTGGCGTAAAAAGGTGACGTTCTCTTGATGACCGGGAGATGGTCAGTCGATATTGTTGGCATCTCGCTCGTGAGGTAATCTGGATCCAGCAGGGGTTTGAAGAATTTCAGGACTACAGATATGTCGTGATCTCGTTCAATATTCAGCTTCGGCTTTGACAGGAAGGTCTCTGCGAAGGCGGACTCAAGCGCTGCACGGATTGATAATTGACGCGGGAAGAACGCATGGATCTCCGGTGATGAGTGCCCAATGCGGGACTGCAGTTCAAAGATTGAAATTGCCGGTTTGCCAGGCTCTGGAAGCCTAGATCGTCCGAAGAGCTTGACAGGCTGCCCATAAGCCTGCGGATGGTCGGATGTGATCATTGATAGCAATGTTGTCTTGCCTGAGCCATTGGGACCAAGAATCGCCCAGCGTTGTCCCCGACGAACTCGCCAGTGCAGCCCATCCTTTACTTCACCGTGAATAGATTGCTGCCAACCACCGAGTACAGTCTTGTTCCCATACTGGACACGAACTCCTTCCATATCAATGACTGGCTCTCCGCCCAATGGCGCCTGGACTTCTGAGCATTTTATATCATTCGTATGGGCCACCAAATCCCCAAGCAGTTCTTTGTCCAAGATACCAGCCTTTAAGTCTGCTTTACACTTATTCAATATTACCGTTTGATGTTCGGATAGAGAGTCCACCTTGGTCTTTTTTACAACGTGGTTCCAGACATTAAGCGTGTCTTCGATAGCTGGCCTTGGCCCTTGCAGCAGTACCTGATGGGCATTGCCCACAACCATAATGTGCGTGATCCAGTCCGGCACCTTATCCTGGGGGCGCAGAGCTAGGATAAGCCGCGGGCTGCGTTCGTTCGCTAGCTTATGAAGAAGTTCAGAGATCCTTCTCACTGCCACCGGGTCCAATCCCACTAAGTCAAGGTTAGAATGTCAAAGTCATCAAAGGTGAATTCAAAACACTCACTGAATGGCTCGTCAAGAAGTAATAGCTCTGCTTTGCTTAGAATCGCCTTGGCAATCCGCGCCCGGCGGGTTTGACCGTTGCTTAGATTCGCGACTGGCAAGTTGAGCAGACATTCTAAGTCAAGACTGCGAGTGGTACGGCGAAGAAATTGTTCATCGTGTAGCGTGCCTTCCTCCTCGCCCTCCATCGGATTTAAAGATGTCTGGCCACGCAAGTATTGCAGCAGGGTCCAGTCGGTTTCCTCCCGAAGACTCTCATAGCGAGCACTGAGGTATGCGCCACGGATTCCCCCAATAGCCCCCGAGCCCTCGCCGCTGAATCCAACATATTGGATCGCATTTTCCACTGAGCGCAACCGTGGGTCCTTTTCTGCGATCTTGTCTGTGAGGAGGTATGGGTATGAACGTGCGCTGGGTGGGATACAGATGTGTTGGCCGCGGAGGATATGGAGGAGGTCGGTTCGATCAGATGGGCCAATTATAGCCCAGTGTTGGGGAGATGTCTCGGTCGAGCTGGGAGTTTGAAGAGCGGGTAGGATGAAGTTCAGGTTCGGGAAGAGAGCTGGATTAGACGAGTCTTCGGCGGTTGGGTAATTCTTGTAAAAAGTTCCATCTTGAATGCGAATGAATGGGATTTCGGAGTTGAAACGGGTCGCGTGATAAGATGCAAGCCCCAATACCCTGGGCCGCAATTTGATTCTGGGTAGCATCGTCGCCTGGAAAAGTCGCAAATGTTCGGAGATTGGAGATTCGGGGTAAACATTTTATAGGTCACGTGAATGGGGCGATTCTAGATTCTCATGCAGGGTTGTACCTGAGCCCCAATTTCTTTTGCCTCATTCCACTGTTGAAGCAGTCAAACAATAACCAAGGCAATATGATACTCATAATTTCACATCATCACTTACGCACATACAATCTCTTGAAGTTATGTTCTCACGTGACTGTTCCGATCTGATCGCATCCGATCCCGGATCGCTCTTTCGGATCTGCATACGGGGGTGATAGGAGGGGTTTCATATCCGTCTATTATGATAGTTGGAAAATGGAAGTAGTGGATATAAATACTAACAGGATCATATCTTTATAACTCTTACATAGTAAATCCCAAAAATAGATGTGAGCCGACGGCTAACAAGGCGGGTGTGGCCACCCGATGCCCAAATTCTCGGGACCCGATCTGGGGTCGTCATGGATATAATACCCGGCCTTCTCCTACTTCACGTTTCCCCTCCAAACCTTCTACGTATCTCCTTTCCATTTGCGGAATTTCAAGTGGCACCCCGCGTTGATCCTGTATCAAAGCAACCAACACATTTCAACCAACGTTCAAGTGTACCTACTGAGAAAGAAGCAACATGACAGTCAGCATGTACTCTCCGGTCCTTGAGACTAGTCGCATCTTCTCTGAGCTGTGCGAGCAGTCGGAACGGTTTGATTTGCCACCTGAGGTCCTCGCAAACAAAGACCGCGTCTCGTTCTCTACCAGTCATAATGAAATCTATTTCCCCATTCCCTTTAAAGAGACCGAGACTCTCGCTGCCCTCAAGGGAATCGAAGGTTCCGTAGCAGCTGCCATTGCGGACCTGCGCTTTGGTTCTGGTGGGGAACCTCGTGGTATTCAAGTCAATCTCGAAGCTGCTACTGCCTTCGGATGCCAAGCGTACATGGCAAAGGTGGATGGTCTGTCAAAATTGGACCCGGCTGTGAAATCAAAGTTGAAGAGTATGTACTTCCGTGTAAACCTGGAATGACAAGACAATATTAACCGCAACAGATACGGATTTGCTGGCTGCCCAATCAAACGGCTACCGACGTATGTCGGCGAATCTTTACAAGACAAAGAACCCAGACGAATACTTCCATATTCATGGATCGCTGGAGGCTACAAGTACCCTGAACATGATTGGACTGGAGGGCCAACGACCAGACTTGACTGACTATGAAGACATCATCAAGGTTATTGAGAGCAAAGTACAGCAATACACAGCTGCAGAGCTCGAAGAGATGAACCAGGCGAGACGTCAGGCTGGTGTGACTGCTTACAAACATGAAGACTTTATCAAGACTCCCCATGTAAGTCTTATACGGTGCTTTATTTGGTCGCAACAAGCAAGCTAATCATTTTGACAGGGAAAACTTAACGTCCAAGAGCCTGCATGGAAAGTCAGCAAATTGCCTGGTGATCTTCCTCCAACTCCCTTCCCAGCTCGACGCAACGGCAGCAAGAAGATCCTCGAGGGTGTCAAGGTACTGGAGATGTGCCGTATCATCGCAGGCCCGACTGTTACCCGTATTCTAGCCGAGTATGGTGCGGATGTTTTGAAGATCACCAGTCCAAGCCTTTCGGATGTTCCTTTTTTCCAAGTGGATGGTAACATGGGAAAGCTTGCAGCAGATCTCGATTTGAAGAGCGATGTTGGACGAAAGGAGTTTGAGAAGCTCTTGGATGATGTGGATGTTATCGTAGATGGCTACCGTCCTGGAGCCTTGGATAAGCTTGGCTACGGAGCAGAGGCCATGGCTGAATTAGCCAAGAAGCGTGGCAAAGGCATCATTTATGTGAATGAGAACTGCTTCGGATACGAAGGCGAGTGGGCTGGCCGCGCTGGATGGCAGCAGATCGCAGACTGCGTAAGTGATCAGATCCAACATTCATGCAACTCAGACCAAAGCTGACCTCGAATACAGGTTACTGGAATCGCCTGGGCCCAAGGAAAGTTCATGGGTCTCTCCACACCCGTTGTACCCCCCTTCCCCATCTCCGACTACGGCACAGGCTGCATGGGCGCTATCGCCGCATTAACTGGTCTCTACCACCGCGCGAAGACCGGCGGATCCTACCACGGCAAAGCCTCGCTGATGCACTACGACCTTCTCCTCTTTGCAATGGGCCAATACCCAGCTGATGTGCAGGAGGAGCTTCGTAAGGTGCAGCCGCCCGAGTTCTTCAAGTTGCGTCACTGCGACAGCGTTGACCGCATCTCGTCGACTGTACTGAAGGGCATGCAGGAGCGGTTCCCGCACTTGTACAAGCCTGCTGGCTCTGAGTCGGAAGGCCGCAAGCCATTGACAGAACTATGGTCATCGCGCGCATATGGTGCGGATATCGAGATTGTGAAGCCAGTCGCGGTTATTGGCGGAGTGGATAATCAGTTTGTGCGATCTAGTCGTCCGAATGGATTTGACCGAGCCTCGTGGGATGAGTTTAACGTCGAGGAGACAGATGTGAGGAAATGCTAGTCGTTTCAGTCCTGTTCCTGTTCCTTTTTTTTGTCCCTTGATATGGGGAATGCACTGTACATAGATTGCAATTGAACACTAGTCTGCAAGTTACCTTGAAGCCAGAAGTTTTGACTTAAATTCAATATGGCATAAGTCAAAAAAATCAGGCTTATAGTTATCCAATATGGATCCTCATGATTCATTTCTTGATGGATTTGGTCAAATACATTGAGTGATCGAGGGTAAAGGTACAGTGCTCATTTAGGTACAGGATATATCTTCCGCCAATAAAGTTGCCTCCAGACTCTGACGATATACCCGCTTCCCTGGACGCTCTGTGAGTCCAATTCCTTTGATAACTTTTCAACCAAGAGCAGATTGCGATGCAGATCATCGAGGGAAAGACTGCGTTTGTCGACATACGATTGTAAAAGGTGAATAGCCCTTTTGTGATACGCTCTCGCTCCCCATTTCAGCATTGATGCGCCAAACTTATCTTCGGGAAGAGGATTAGCCCCTCGTTCCAGGAGAAGGCGAAGACTGACAAATTGCCTCTCAGGGAAGTCGTTGGCGGTTGTCCGGTAGGATGACCAGCAACGAGGAGGTTTTTCCAATTTGTTTATATCCGCACCATAACGCAGAAGTACGTCAAGGGTCGCTGCTGCTGCTTCAGAGTCGGCAGCTTCTGCGGCATCTATCAGGTAGGATTTGGGATCGTGGTAATCGCCGCACCAGGGGCCGTAGGCGTGGATATCCGCAAATTCATCAGCCGCTGGATTCGGGTCAAAACCTTGCTTGAGGAGATATTCCGTGGTTAGTGAGTCTCCCCTTACCACAGCAGACCTCATTGCGATCTGCCCTTCGTCGCCGGGAAGAGCTATCACACCATATGGGTGTAGGAATTGAAGCATGGCTACCCCTCCTCTGCTTGCTGCGGTGAGCAAAGTTCTCGTCTTAGCTGCTTCTTGGGATATCTCCAACGGAACACCGTGGTCGAGCAGCCTTTGAACCAAAGTAATATTTCCACTCCCTATAGCCCACTCGATTGTGTTGAACTTTCTGGACTTAAAAGCCACCTGACAATCTGGCCCTCGAGAGAGAATCATCTCAAATATTGGTGAAAATCGCATGGCTATAACAAGAGCAGGTTTGCCATTCCTATCTGTATGGTTCACATCAATTCCATGCTTGAGTAGTAACACCACCAAGTCGGTGTTTCCACTTTTGCAGGCCGCGATCAACGGAGTCTGGCCTGACCTTTCAACATTGGGATCAGCTCCGTTTTTGAGAAGAAGCGTAGCAGCTTTGATATCACCCCTTTTCACTGCCCATGCAAGTACTGTGGCAGGTTGAAAAACCTGTTTTTTGTAGGGCGAAATCTGTGTTTGATAGGGAGCGGATCTTCTGTCTAGATGACATCCACTGATCAAGATCTTTTCCAACATCTCTTCAAATCCACAGGCAACAGCCACCAGCAAAAGCACAGCCAAATCCTCGCCTCCAGCGCTGATCTTGCTCTCCACATCAACATGGGTCAGCAAATACTGAACCAAGTCCAGACTTTGCGCCACTGCAGCATGTTTTAGGTGCACCAATGTGACTCCATTTGGCCCTACAGGATTAGGACAGGCCCCGGCCTCAATCAAGAACCGAACAAGATCCACATTGCCGGACTCCACTGCTGTTGTTAGAGGAGTATCCCCATTAGAGTATGCGATATCCAAAGGAGCACCGGCTTCGATCAAAATCCGAGCAACCTCCGTGTTCCCGGCTGTGCGCAGTAGCGCTTGGTCATTTTGAATCATATACTTGATCGTTCCGGGATATTTCTCCTCGAGGAATCTCATCACAGCTGGATGGCTCTGGCAAATACTCTGGGTCATGGCCTTGATAACTTTGGCCTGATCCCATTGTGCCATTCCACCGTAGACATGCAACAGTTGTACCATTGAGTCGTACCCACAGCTAACAGCCACATCCATTGGGTCGTGTTCCTCCTCGCGCACGAAAATAGGATCGTAGTAGTCTTGGACATCCATGACAACGTTTGATACAATCTTGTAGCAGTCCTCCAGTTCCGGAAACCACCATTCATCTTGTCCATTTGGACGAAGACCCCGTTCCAAGAAAAGCTTCACTATGGCATCATGTCCATAAAAAGCCGCTAAACATATTGCCTGGGCTTGGTTGAATGTGGCTAGCGGGGCACCGGCGTCGATGAGTTTTTCAGCGACGGATAGTCGCCCAAGTCGAGCTGCCGATACCAAGCCACAGCCTTCGTAGCGCTTCACATTGTTATTGTATAGACAGCTGTCGAGTGCGTCATGCAATTGGCGTGTCGTTCGTGATAGAGCGCTGATGTCGCTGTCGAGTTCTAAGAAGTCGGTGATGAGGTAGATTATCTCCAACGGGAGATCTAGAAATTTCATAATGTAGGGCGGAAACGGGAAGAAGTGTGAGGTGAAAAAAGAGAGTAAAATGTTGTCTTGTATTCTCTACAACGGGGAAGCTATAGTTCACTGATTATGCTAGAAGCTTGATAAACCAGGCATCAATCAGATGCTCGCAAGATATTCCCACCAAGATCTGGGGCAGTTTGAGCCTTTTATTCCTTTTCGTGTTCAAACTAAACCTATCACGGTTACTCTGAAATATCATGGTCTTGGCGATATATCGGTTGAGTCACAATATATAAGAATAGTTGGCCACTTATGCCTTGTGGTGACTTTCCAGTGATCTCTTTGCTAATTTTTTGGCAGTCTTGTTAGTAGTCTCCTTATTAGTTTTCTTAGTGGTCTTCCCAATCTCTAATATACTTTTCATGTCTTTAAGATATTATGGCCCCCTTCTCGGTCTCGTTAGGTAGACAGTAAGAAAAGGGTAAGAGGCTTGAAAGCTCTGGGACAACATATAGGTGATAGCCCTGTAAATAAAGTCTAGAACAGTCTATGACACTCCAGTGGGCAGTCTATAGATGTTCCCTGCCGAGCCACTAACCCCACCATAGACGTAGCGTCAGGGTTTCCCCAAAACAGGTTTGACCCCGTTTTTTTCGTAGTGGTTTTTTTTTTTTTTTTTTCTTTTAACATATGTAGTCCGAGACTCACATATGTGGAAGTGACCAGCTACAGATCAGCTGGCCCATCTAATATGGGTCAGCCGAATGATGTTGAGCAAGAGAGAATCCGCGATCTTTCCAAGTTTGTTGTTTCCCCACCCGATTGCGATCGCCACTAACAACATCCCCAACCTCAGATATTATTGTACCTTCGATCAACTCTCAACCTCAGATCTGGAAGTGGATGAGGTCCCACGGGAAACACCCTTCCCTCGTCTTTCAAATGATACCACCTTGACCGCCCTGACCCAACTGGGTGTCTATCGCTTTGGATGCAATCGGTCCTTCGTTTCAATCATCGATGGAGAAAGTCAACATGTCATTGCAGAGGCAACTGCCTCGATCTCTCTTCGAAACAAAGATCTTCATCGCCCGGACGATGGTATCTTCCTGGGGGTCAACACACTTGACTTGGAATGGGGAGTGTGTCCCCACGCCATTCGACTTTTCACCGGACAGGACCCTTCCCAGATACTAGACACGGAGAATATAACGGCCAACCAGACGCGCAACATCATTCGCGATTTTACCAAGGAGGATTTCTACAAAGATCGCTCATATGTGCTCAACTGGCCTTTCTTTCGATTCTACGCGGAGGTGCCATTGTACAGCCCCTCCGGGTTCGTACTAGGTTCGTATTGTGTGGTGGACAACAAGCCACGAACGGTGTTTGGAGACGAAGATGTGGCTGCTCTTCGGGAAATTGCGGACTCGATCTCAAACCACCTTGAAAATTCGCGGATCGTTCAATACCATCGTCGTTCGGAGAACTTGGTCAAAGGGTTAACAAACTTCGTCAAAAATCATTCGAAATTTGACCCTACTGGCTCTTCCACTCAAGGCCAGATTGAAGCATCTGCCAAGAAGCTCAATTCTGAGGATTTGGGGCTAATAGCTATTCCAGCCGATGTGGGTGGAACGCTCGATTCTTTGCCCACCGAAAAGGATGTTGGTGTCTGTTCATCCCTTGATGAAAGATCATCCACAAGTCTTAATGGAAAGGAAGTTTCGATATTTTCTCGAAACAGTGCTTCCAAGTCAAACTATACACAACCATCATCGCTTTCTCGAACCTCGGACCGAGTGGAACCGCTTCCCTCTTCCATGGAAGGAAGCCCGGAATCATTAGTGCCAGAAAATGTGCCTATCGCTGAACGCGTAGCTGCGATATTTGCCCGTGCCAGTCTCCTACTGAGAGATTCTTTGGATCTGGATGGCGTGGTCTTCCTTGATGCCCACCGGAATGACCCGCAATTGTTGGTCACTCTTTCTTTGTATAATTGACATTTTCTAACTCCACTTTAGCGAATCTTCTGGGCGGCATGATGATTGGGACGCTTTGTCGAATTTTGAGACAGGTTCGCCAATTACTTCAGGCGCTAGCCCCTGGGGTCCTCCTAATACAAATTTGCCCGAAGATGCAGAAAACTACTGTGGTTCCTTGGGCCAGGCTACAAGCTGCAGGCCAGCTACGACCAATTCTGAGTCAAAATTCCAGGTCAAGGTGACGGAAGAGTTGCTGCATTCGTTGATCACACACTTTCCAGATGGTCACATTTTCGACATAGACAGCACGAGTAATCCTCCCAGCCCCCTAAACTCTGCAAGTGGCAATTCGAATGTTTGCGCTCCCAATTTCGAAATCATTCGGCAGATCTCTCATCGTCTCGCTCGTCAACTCCCCGAAGCCAAATGTGTCCTTTTCTATCCTCTGTGGGATTGGAACAAATCAAGATGGCTTGCAGGTACACTGGTATGGGTAAATGGAAGCCATCGTCCTTTGGGCACAGAAGACCTGCACTACTTTAAAGCTTTTGGAGATTCTATGATCTCCGAAGTATCTCGGATACACTGGACCGCCAGTGAGAACTCGAAATTCGACTTTGTAACTTCTATCAGTCATGAACTTCGCTCACCACTACACGGGATTCTCGCCAGCGCAGAGCTACTACATGATATTCCACTTCAGACTGCGCACCGTGATATGGTTGATATGATCTCAACGTCAGGTCTCACCTTGCTGGACACAATAGATCACCTGTAGGTTTTATTCGCAGTCTATCCAGACCTTTTACTGACAAACACCAGGCTGGATTACTGTAAAATCAACAACTTGGCAACCACACAAAGCCTCAGCGTGACCAACACTGAAGATTCTTCAACAACCCTAGTATCTGACTTCAGTCTCGATTCCTTGGTTGAAGAAGTGGCCGTGATACTCCATAGCGGCCGAAAGGCACCCGGGCCTGTCTCCTCTCTTGCAAGTGAAACAGCTACTGCTACTCCGTCCTCCCAACCCATCTCTCATATTACTCGAAATGGCGATGAATTGTCAGTGATAGTAAACATCGAGCAATCCGGATCCTGGAATATCCGATCAGTCGCGGGTGCCTGGAGGAGAATAGTCATGAATCTGCTCGGCAACGCAATGAAATGGACGCATTCCGGCCTCATTGAGGTATCGTTGTCACAAGCTGCAGCTCAAACTCAAGCAGAACCTCGCCATATCCATCTCCGCATCACAGACACTGGCCGAGGAATTAAACAAGACTTTCTTAGAAACTCGGCATTCTCTCCATTCGCCCAGGAAGACGCCCTGTCAGATGGTGTTGGACTTGGACTCAGCGTTGTGCATAAGCTAGTGACTTTCCTGGGTGGTCATCTAAAAATGAAGAGCGAAAGCGGTGTTGGTACCCAGGTCGATGTTTATATCCCCGCACAGCACGCCAAGGACCATGTTCCCAAGTTATCCGATGATGCTTCCTCATTAACAATTCAAAGACACAAGGACCCTCTGAAGGCATGCCTCGTTGGGTTTAACGGCTGTCCTGACTTGACGGAGACGCCCACTGGTATCCTGAGCTCCGATGCGAGACGAATGCTTTCTGTTCAAAGTACTCTCGCCAATGTTTTCAGGGTGCAACTCGGATGGCAAATCGCACTGGCAGGCTCACTTGAGAAGGGAGAGGGTGACATCGCGGTCATCGAGGAGGCAAAGTTCAACGCTCTATTCAATGACCAATCACCGTCTACTATGAATGCCGGCCATCATTTCAAATTCTTCATTATCTTGGGCAGCACGGCATCCTCGCTAGGATACTCTCTTCCTGCGAATGCCATCCTGATGCCGCAACCGTATGTCCAGAGTACACACCCTTTTTCGAATGCATAAGCTAACTCTGATTCAGATATGGTCCTCAGAAGATCCGTGAAACCGCTCAAAGAATCATGGATCTGCACAAATCACAACCTCAAATCGGTGGCCTCGAAGCTCTAGTTGCCGTTCCACCAACAAGCTATGAAATTCTTCCGTCAGAACCTACCCCTCCGAATCTACCGGAAATATCGAAAGACCTTTCACAGGAACCTCCAGTTGAATTGGTCTGTCCGAGTCCTCCTATTCGGGGCTCGCCGATTCTATCGAATGGTCAAATGAACGATATGCATGTTCTCATCGTAGATGACAATGACATCAATCTCAAGGTAAGTCAACCCACTGCAAACTCGGTTACGCAAATGTTGCCCTTACTTTCTCGTATATCAGTCCCTCCAATTCGTTCCTTGTGATCAGACTTATAATCATACAACAGATCCTCGCTACGTTCATGCGAAAACTTGGCTGTAGTTACGACACAGCTTCTAATGGACTGATTGCATTGGAACAGGTTGAATCTTCAAGTCGAAGATATGACTTGATATTGATGGGTTAGTCTACAAGCCAAGCATCCCTCTTCAAAAATTACTAACTGCGTGGTTGTCAATTCTAGATTTGTCAATGCCTGTAATGGACGGGTTGGTTTCAACCAGCAAGATCCGACAACACGAAAAAGACCATGGTCTCCAACCCTCCCGCATCATGGCTGTGACAGGCGTCGCTTCGGATACCATGCAACAGGCGGCGGTGACCGCAGGTGTCGACGACTATCTCGTCAAACCTCTCTCTCTCCGTATGCTGAAGAAGCTTATAGAACCTATACTCTAATCAGTTAATTCCCGGTGAATGGACCAATCACCGGTGATTTTTGGCAGGCTGTTCGAAAGTTCATGGTCAGCGTCAGCCTTGTCGTGATACTATAGCATGTTCCCCAAGAGCAAGAAAACGAACAGCTCTATAAAACTTATCGTCAACTAACGAAATATACAATCACGTGCATAGTTCCACCACATTAATATCTTAGACTAAATACCGCTGTCCAACTCCCAGTTCCCCATTGATCCAGGATGAAAGCCTAAGAAACACTCACCTAAATGTTACAGCCTTGATTCACAATTCACCGGCATTCTTTGTGGGCCTTTTGCTTCTCCCTTTCATCGAAGCCACCAGATTAAGGCAATTCACCCCAACACAAGTTGCATTTCTTGAATCGCAGGAGTGTCTTCGCATTCCAACCAAGCGTGTGACGGAAGTGTTTGCGTATCGGTACTTTCTATACAGATGAGAATTCCCCTGGACAGATTCAGTAATTGGACCATAGCATAGAAAGAGAATTCGTGGATACGGTAATGTGTTTGATCTAGCCTACTCGACCATACCTAAGAAGGAAAAGACTGGATTCAGGGATATAGAGAAGGAAGCAAGCCTATACGGAGCTATGGTGCTATTCATGGAGGATCAGACATGATGAAGATAGTATTGTAAAAATTGCAGCTGAACCAACAATTTTCTTGCGCACATCAGTTTAAAACCCCTTGGTATCCCTCTTCTGGAATACTACCTTCAATGGGGCCGTGGCTAACGTGAAAGTATCCTGCTTTCCATCGATGAAAGCAGCTGCCGTTTGGTCTGGGGCGAACGAGACATCAAACCGGGTGAGTATCTCAGCAGTCACAGAGCGGAGCTCCATCAGGCCTAGCTGTTTCCCAACGCATGAATATGGACCTAAATGAATAATTGACTATTACCATCTTGGACCTTAGGTCTTGATTATCCCGTGCAAGACATGCAAGTAGAGAAAGCAGTCAATGTGACAAAACTTACCAGCGCTAAATGGAACAAATGCAGCAGGATCTTTGACGAGTTCTGGTTGTGTATCCCATCGCTCAGGCAAAAACTCCAGTGAGCGAGCAAAGATGCGTTCATCTGACCGCAGTGTTAGCCGTTATTTTGATCTTATTCTCGACTGATCAAGGACGAGTGACTGATTTCTCACCTCTGAACACAGTATGTAGGGGAATGCACACCCTCACTTCTCCGGGAATGTACTTCTCGCCAATAGTGATGCCCTCTGGTGGAGTCGTACGCTGCATTCCCGAAGGCACAGGAGGGTGAAGCCGGAGAGTTTCATTGATTACCCCGTCGAGTAGTTTTACCCCTCTCAGGTTGTCGTAAGATAGACTAGGTAGAGCGTCCAGCTCTTTCTGGAGTGTTTTGTACAGAGTGCGGTCCATGGCAAGATGGAATAAAATATTGGTGAGAGTGGCAGCTGTGGTGTCACTTTGATATAAGTCAGCACATGTCGGTTACTTGATCAAGAGATAGAATTTGGGATACAAGGAATTATATAATACCTTCCAGCTACGATAATCAGGTATGCATCACCGCTGAGGTCAATCTTATCTTGATTCGTCTTTGGACCCTGTTCATATGCTTTGAGGATCCATGAGAACACATCTGGGGCATCTGGGTTACTCTATATTCCAACAACTTATTAGAATTTTGAACTTGGATCTCCATGCCAGCAATTCATTGAGAGGGAATTGTCTCACCTGAATCCTCTCATCCACACGCGCATCCACCCATTTCCAAAATTTGAGATAGTCCGCATTGATCAGAGGAATTTTCTTGAAGAATGGGAATAACCAGGTGAGATGGGCAAAAAGCCCAATCATTTTCAAATCACCATGTAATTGCTTCAAGATATAAGCGTCTTTGCCATCAATTAGCATGTTGAAGGATTTTCCAAACGACAAATCACCCATAACATCGAAGCTGTAGTAATTGAACCACTGAGCCATGTTGATTTGATTTCCCACCTCCCGTTCGATGACCTGGATGAGTTGTTCCGTGTAATAGGAGACGCGAGGCTCATAATCACGGAGTGCTAGAGGACCTTAGTATCTGCCTTGTGTGGCCCTACCAGGGAATAGAAATTTCATACCTCGAGTGCTAAAGCCTTGGTCCCAGGCCTTCCTTCGCTGCGCGTGCACCTGCTTATTTCTGACCATCTGTAAGGAAACCCGTGGTTCCAAGACCGTATACCAAGGACCTTTGGTGACCTTTGCTGAAGAACTGTAGATTGCCTTGACTGCGCGTGGGTCCGTAATAGACAACTCAGTAGGCCCTGATAATTCAAACGTACCCTCGATTAGCCCAATGCGATGAAGGGAAGAACAGAAAAAGACGATTGTCCTTGTTCCTTACCTAAACGCACGTAATCTCCATACTGTTCGTGTAGCTTCTCAGTCTCCTCATAAAGCTGAAGCTTGCGGGCAGATAGAAAAGTCACATGAAAGTTTGATAATCTCGCAAGGAATGGGCCCGGGAACCGTGACAGACGATGTAAGAAGGCTCGATAGAAGAGCATACTCGCGTAGATACCCAATATGTGGCACCCTACGACTTTGGCGGCCAAATGGCTTGGTGCACCGATTGGGAGCTCATCTTTCTGGTACCGTTCCAGGAGTGTAGCACCTAGGAACAGAAATATGTATGAGACCACAAGGCGTGGGGCTGTGAGATCCCACTCTCCATGACGATAGAAAAGAAGTTGCGCGGTCAAACCGCTGAAGCCCGCGAGTGGTAAGATCACACTAGGAGACTTCGCCGCTAAGATGTTTGAGGCCATTGTATGCGACGGAGAAGCTCAAAAGGACCTCGGTAAGAATTATCTGCTAAGGGAGTTTATTATCAATATACAGCTATATATAAGTAATGTAAAAGATTTAAAAGTACAAGTTCGTATAAGCGGCTGAAGGCCTCGGGCTCTGAGATGCGGGCACGGAATTTAGGGCAAATCCTAGAATAGGGTTATTTTAGCCGGGGCCCCTCAAATCTGACCAGAACCGAGGGCGCTAGGTATGCACAATGTGTCGATCATTGCCGTGCTATAATGTGATAATGTGATTGTTACTCTGGTCCAGTCATAATGAGTTGATTTCATGCACGATTTCTAGTCTTATTCGCTTAAATCCCATTCATAATATAATTCACGGACAATGACTATTCTAGGCCTTGATATACCTTCTACTAGTGATAAGCAGGTTGATCAGGTCATGTCAAGGGAAGCACGATTCTAGTCCTTACTAGTCGTATAGTTGTTACTAGATAATTCTAGAGTGGCCACTAGCAACACACTCAAGTATGACCTCGTGACCTGGTAAGCCCTATCTCTTTCTTTTCTCTTCGAGAAGGTAGGGGGGGGAGGAAAATAAATGGAAAGAAAGCGACTTAATGAATTTTAGTTACATGATTCAGTCTCCCAAAATTCCATGCGTTACTCTCCAAAAAGTGCGATACTGCTACAAAGCGTGTCAATTGAGACTGAACTAACGGGGATTAGTCGGTCGTCATTCGTGATCCCATCTTCCTCCTCCAGAGTCGGGTATATGTCATCGGATGGCACATTGCTAATACTCGGTCCCGCCATTATGTTCGTCTCCTTGTGTCTGGGGTATCCCACTATCCTTCCTGCGTTTCGCGTAGGTCCAAATATCATCGATTGATCAATTTGGTGAGAAGGGGACCAGAGACAAGTAGGAGACATCGCTGCAAGCTCCGGGTATATCACGGGCATAGACAGTTCTACTAATGGGGATGTCAACATTGATTCCGAGTGTTCGAGAGCAAGATGACCCGTGGCCATTGAAACGTCGATAATGCCAGTTAACTTGAAGTACATTGCTGGCTGTAACTCAAGCATATATGAGTGAGGCTTCCCTGTAGACACTCTCTGCGAATGAACAATATTCGCTGAACGATTGTTGGCGCAGGACACAGACGACTCGAACAAACGAAGAATTTGATTGACCCAGAGCGCAAGATGGGAGACATCGTAACGTAGAAAATACTGCCGATTGAGTTCGTTGTAGATCTTCAAGGCATGTTCTTGGCGCCTGCGGCTTATTTTGTCGGTCGAGAGTCGAAGGTTGAAGTTCAGCACCATCTGGGGTAATAGAGTGCAGGCTACAACACTGATAGGCAAGTGGCTAGCGGTACCATCGACGACAAAACGTTTCACCGTGTCGTTTATCTTTGTGACCGCGTCCATTAAATCAGGCCACCTTTCCCGGTGTTGGCGTTGATAAATTCGGAATGAAAGATGTTGGTACAGCGCTAAACGAGCGGTTCTAACTCGGAATAAGATTAGCCATTTGCTCAACCCCGTTTCGGGTCAGGGGGTGTTAGTCCTCACTCAAAGTATAAGGCAGTCAACTGCTTATAAAATACGACGCAGGCGTGAAAGGAAGAGTCATCTGGAGACAGTGGAAGCATGTTCTGGCACTTCCAGACATTAAGACGAGATTCGATTTCGTCTATTCGAGTCGTTTCGGGAGTCATGTCATTCTGTAGACCCGTACATCCGCTCGGGGGATACACCATCATGATCAAATCCGTCAAGGCAAGAGCAAGTTGACAGTGGCTAGTCATGATTTTGCAAAGCATAATCTTGGTCTCGGGGTCGTAAACCTCAGATGAATATATCTCATCATATAAATCGCCGACCAGCAATACATCTCGTGATTTAGGGTCAAAGTGGGCTGGGAGTATCTGCAGCGGTCGTCGCATGCCCAAAGCAATTGTCCTATCCCGAATGACAAGGCACCACCAGAGTCGCTTGAGATCCGATCGCTTGTATTTGGATTCGTCAGGATAGTGATGATAGAGGTGTGCATTTGCAGCGCGACCCTGCTGGATTGCAAGAGCAAGCCAGGTAGTGTTGCTCAAATGGTCTAACCTGGTGCTTTGAAAGGTAAGTAGCAATGACGCTTGAGCAAGAGATAAATGATCTCCCTCAATGCCAAACTCATAAAGCATCTTAACCTTTTGTCAGCATATCTCTTGGGACTCAGGATACCGCCTGTCAAGGCTTCCTCGCGCACACACCTTAGCACGCCGGTAAAATGTATTGCGCATTATCAGGATCGATTCAGCCCCTGATTGTCTGGCATCGGTTAATGAGATGTACTTGGGACAGGTTAGCCATGGAGTTATTCGACAGGAGCGTGTATCCCTGGAGGATTGGTGTGTGAAACCTACGCTGCAAGCGACGAACAACATTGCCTGAAATACAAGCAGCGAAAAGGAAGAACCCCGGTCCTCTCTATCATGAAAGGTCGGCCAGAACTCTGCTTCGTTGATGACTGGCAGACAAGGGTGAACGTAGAGGAAATAGTGGGAAATTAGCGTATTTAGCAAAGGTCCCGTAGGAACATGCAGACTCTTTTGGGATTCGAGAAAGGCCATCTCGGCTGATTGTAGTTGATGTAGATTAGGTGCCCGTAGGTACCGAAAGAAGGAAAAGAAAACAGACGAATCTTCCATTATGTTCTTGTCACCTGGTTCGGAAATCAGCACTTGTTCTTCTGGGTGCCTATCCTACACCCGGGCGGTCCGTTTGCCGAGCGTAGAATGAAAATGGAAGAACGAACACGAGAAACTATTTGGTACACTCAGCGTCTGTCGCCCCTCAAAATTTACGGAAACGTGGCTACTATGTTGATTGTTGATGGCGTCCATGTCAGAAGCCTTGCGGCCGTCGGTCCGACTCTCGATCACCGTGGGACCAAGAGTATGATCTTCCTGTCTGCCGTTTGTGACGGAAACCTGACCAAAATTCACAGTTTGTGAATCTTGTCTGGAGTCTCTCGGACTCTTAGGACGAGTCGTGCAATCAAGGCCATCAAGACGGCAGTTGGTACAGGGTCGTCCGTATGTCGCAGCATCACATCTTACCTTACGGCGATGACAGCCCAGACACGCTACACGTGCCCGGCGCTGGCGGTCCGGTCGCAGAGAAAGAGGATTTCTTATCGCATGTAGATCCATCTGTTGAGCTTTTGTCTTCAGGGATCATTCTAGCAAAAGGATGTGAGCAGATGAGAAAAATTCTGGCCGGAATACTTGGACACTGACACGCCCCAGACATTCCAACCCACAGGTATACCCCGCACCCCAGGTAAACGAGGGCATCTGATCGACGAGAGCCTCTCATCCTTATACGAGGGGATACATGATTTAACGTAGATGAGCTGCTCTTAATAGTCCGAGTACTGCCATTTAACTCCATTTTATAGCAGCACATAGTCTCAAACAATCTTTCAATATATTTTACAGCCGAGGCAACGAATTCATCGATCCACACAGATCGACCGGGGAGCGCCAAGGGGTCCGGGGTAATTGAGCCGGAATATCATCGGACCGTCAGAAATTCATAAACCAAGAAAAGTGCATAATATTGATTAGTCAGTCCATTGAACCGAGGCGTTCCCAGGTTGGAAATTCACCCTATGGACCCAGTTAAGAGATATCACCAATTTCAACTATATATATCTCCACCAATATTAGATCCTTTTGCATATAATTAGTATTATTGAATAGGAAATTTATCAGGAAATTTAACTAGATCTATATTTAGGGTAATAAGCCCTAATCTTACGCCTAGTAAGTAGTCTCCTAGGTACAGATCGGATCAAATTAATTCTGATCAAGTGCATCGTATATAGCGTATATACAACCCTTAAAGAATGCCTACTCCGCTTCGCTTCGGTCTATTCCGATTACTTCAGGGTGTATCTCTCTGGTTTTTACCTTTAATAATACTAAAATCGCTTTTCAGGGCTTAGTTCGGGTGAACGTAGAGGCTAATCCTCGGCGTAAACCCCGTACTATTCGAAACACTTCTAAGCAATGCTCGGCCGGTGGATTGTTACAAAATGTTGATAAAAGATAGTTCTAGATACGTAGATTAATGGAAGACCTTTTGCGAGGGATGAAGGTACGAATTCGAGGTATGCATCTACTGATATTTAATATTGATGTTATTTGTCGTCATTGTCAAGGACAGGCGACGCAAGTAGCCTTCCGATGACATACGTATATATCAGTGTCAAACATGGTCCATCATACGTTCTCCGATGCTACTTTAAAATAGAAATGACTCGCTAGCTACTGTCCCTTCCATAACAAAACTGGTTTGATCACACTTCCATCTCTCATGCCATCCAACCCCTGTTGGTAATCTGTAGCCTGTGCATGGGAAAGTCAGCTCTGATGTTGTGGGACGTTATAATGATGTATGTAACCAACATTGAAAAACTTGATCATTTTATCGACAGGAAAGCGACCTTCCCGGTACCACTTGATCATTTGTGGGATAGCCTGTTGTTACAATCAGCAACTCGCTAAATTCAAAGGAAAATAGTACAAATAACGCACAATTTTGGGGACAGAATCTCCTTCTATACATCCCATGATCGATCGGCCCATCTTCAAAATAAGTTAGTCACACAGACTCAGCAAAAAGCGAGGGACTGTCGCTTACATTGATTTGCTCTGTCACATCAAAGCTCATGCGATACCCTAGCGGTGGTACTCCAATGAGCACTATCCTGCCTCGTGCATGTGTAGATTGGAGCCCCTGCTCGATTAGAGTAGGTACCCCTGTTGTTTCGATCACAATGGAGACTCCGCCGGGTAACAATTTCTTGACCGCGCCATCGAGTGTGGTGAAATCTGGACCGCTGGTATCCAAAGTATGTGTCGCTCCAAGGGTTTCGGCCAGTTCAAGACGTTCCTTGACACGGTCCACAGCAATGATGGTCTTGCAATTGCGTATTTTCGCAGTCTAGTCAAATCAGTGTTAACTTTGTACCCACCTTCGACTCGGTCACCTTCCAAAGAAACAGAGATTGTGTGACTGCGTACCATAAGAGCGGCCATTCCAACAGCACCCAAGCCTAGGATCAATACTGTATCACCCGGTCCTGCGTTGGTTGTGTTTTGGATGACACCCATTCCCGTCTGGAATCCACAACCTAGTGGGGAGAAAAGTTGAAGCTCGTCATCATGCTCCAAAAGACCCTTGGCATTAATAACGCTTGCTTCGCTAACGACGCTGTACTGAGCGAAACTGGACTGTCCAAAAAACCTCGCCCACAGTTCTTCACCACTGTCACGTACTGACATCCGCTTCTGGCCGCCATAATTTTCCTGCGCAAAGTCCTTGCAGTATGCAGGATAAGAGTTCTCGCATTGTTGACACGATGAACAAGAATAGAAAGATAGAAGAACTGGGTCGCCGATTTCGACGCTTTGAACGTTTTTGCCGACACCGCGTACAATCCCGGCACCTGTGACCATGTTAGTAAGCCTGATTTGGAAGGTACGTCAAAAGGACAATAATTTACCTTCATGTCCTGCCACCTTTGGATATTCGATACCAAGTGCGCCATTAGGTACTGAAGTCAAAACAAGATCGGTGTGACATATTCCCACAGCACGCATTTCGACGAGGATCTCGCCTTCACCTGGTGAATGGACATCCACATCTTCCAATGACCAATTCGGAGTCAGAGGATGGACAGGATCCCTGGCAACGATTGCTTTTCCGATTACCATCTTGTTTAACTAATCAGTAAGTAAACTAAACGTCCTCATATATTTCATATATTTCATATAAGTTCAATGTGGAGACAACCTTGGAACCCCACGCCGCGGCTCGGTAAACTTACATGCGGGGGAGCGGCAATACCCCTTGAGTGACAGGACCTCTCCTACCGGTAATACAATATGTTTAATAATGCATTAGTTCAATGTTGAATTGTTCATAACTTTGGTGGGATAATCAGCATCAGCACGGTCCCACCATACGCACAGTCTCGTCCTACAAACCCGGGCCAACCCGCCGAAGAATCGTGAGACAAGATTCGAACTACGCCGGCGCTCGGTGGCTCATACAACATGCTGGTGAGACTTTTATGCATGCGCGGACACCGCGCCGTTGCGAGACCGGCTGGTCTAGCGCTAGTCTAGTGCTGATTTATTTACTCCGTGCCTGTCTAGTGGGTGTTAGCGGGGTTTGCTTTTTCCGGCGGTCTTCTTAATATGTATGTGCTTATCTATGTCATCTATTCAACCTCGGAATACGCATACGCTAATGTGAGTATGTGGGGACGGTTTTGTCTCGGATTGGGATCTTGACATGTGTAAGATGTAGGTGCCCGTTTGAGCTGTGCTTACATTGCATGGTTCGGATATTGCGGTGGCTTTGGGTGTAACAGTGGTGGCTTGGGATACTTTGTTTTTTTGGATTTTGGATGATTGGAATTGGAAGGAATGTAAATATCAAGTATTTGCTTTTATCTATTCTTGGATGGTATTTGTAGAGATATATATTCCCCATGTACTTGGTACTTCGCAGGTACTTGCCGAATTGAGTAAATATCGCCGCAGGGATCGGAGGCTTAAATCTCCGGCCCGAACTATGCTTGCCCATAACGAACTATACGTCAATAAGATATAGTGAGGGATATGTATATGCAAGGATATGCATGAAATCCAACTCAAATTCAAGTATATCAAATCTCACCTGAGACGCGACGATAGAATCGAACAGAAGCAAATCTAAAATAATCTACTTGATGTAAAGTTCAGAATATATCATGCAGATCACACACTCTAATTGGTCCCCAACCCACCAGGTGGAGAAAGTTAGTATGTATTTGGAATTGCACTGAGAGATATTGTCTTTGTCAAGTGTAATGTTTGTCATCATTATATCCATTAAGTTGCTAAAGGGATAATTGTCTAACGGATACTAGCAGGGTCATAGCGCGTGATTCCAAATCCCCCTAGGAAGTGCTGACATATTTACAAACAAGGTCCCCCCTGAGAGGAAGGAGTCTTGCAATTCAACATCCCTTCGAAAACATCAATAAAAAACAATATGCCGCCAATAAACGCCTCGAGCCGGAGAGGATATATGGCAAGATGCTCAAAAGATACAACCTCCTAAATGAGAAAAACAAAAAAAAAAAAACAAAAAAGGGCTCAAGAAAACAAGCACAGGTATGTACAAGACAGAAGACAGAAATAATAAGATTGCAAATCAGGAATCAAAAATCGGACCAAATGCCGGGGTCCCTCGAGCTTCAAGCTCATAGACGATTCGCGTCGTCAGCACAGGGTTACTGATCACGCACACTGCTTCAGCTTTGAAGTCCTTGATCTGTTGCAGGATGATGGGAACCATGTCCATGCGCCCACACTTGTCGGTGTCAAGGATGATGGGTGCTGAATCCATCTTGTGCACCAGGTGCATCACCCCGTCACCGTAGGTCCGTCGGGGGGCACGAGTTTGCCAGAGTACACGCAGTGCGGGTCGGTTCTCATCACCGAGGAATGACAGACAAGGTCCAATGCCCGATCCGGTAGTGACGACAATCACTCTCTTGAAAACGCGCATGGCATATGCAAAGCCATAGATCAACACGCCCCGCTTCCAGAGGTGGGTAGGCGGGTTCTGGATCGTCTCTGCAGTCCAGTCACCAGCCTTGGACACCAAGGAAGAGAAACTTGGGTTGCCGTGGACACCTGCGGGGGTAGGGTCTGGGAAAGTGGCAAAACCATGCCAGTCGCGAAGGGGGTGCTTGGCAAGTTGGATACCCTTTCCAAAGGTGGTAATAGCATGGTCGAAATGCAGGCGGGTGGCGTGGGTCGAAAGTGGCTCGGCCCGCACCGCGACCTTGCGGAGGAACAGCCAAGGTTGGATAATGGCCGCTACCGTGAAAATCAGGAACCAGAATGCAGGCAATTCGACGAGGAATGTTCCAAGTGGTTGACCCTTTGCCTTGCTAGCGCCTCGCGAGAAAACGAGCAACAAGGCGACAAACAAGGCCACGACAAGCCACCCCGAAAAACGGTGGGTGAGTTCGAAATAATCGTGCCGTTTCATCCGGAAGGCGGGGTGAGCCACCACGATGATCGCCACCAGCAGGAGAAAGATGACATAAGCTAATGCAACTGGCGCTGCTGATATGCCCATATCCGAAACATCCGCTGACGGTCTCCAATATTGGTACGATAACACGCCCACGAATCCCATGTACCACACGAGGGAGGCGACTCCACAACCGCTATGAACGCCACCATAGTGGTAGACTTTGGCGGCGATGCGACGGAGGGGAAGGGGCGCTGAGCGCGGCATTGAGCAGACTACCACGAAGATGGCATTGACCACCAGTGGCTGGCGGGCCAAACCGCAAGCGAGCAAATTGGCCGCTGTGGCATTGACCAGGGCTAAGAGTTTTTGTTCAGTGCTCATGATGTACACGAACATTGCAACGTTGGCGGAGAAGACTAGCGTGAAAAGACGTCGGTACAGTGTGAGAATGGCATATCGGGTGGATGCAAACAACTTGGGTTTGCGTTGGGTGAGTTGTGTGTATGTCTGTGCCTCCACATCGATCTCTTTTGCGAGGTCAAGATGTAAGGATTCGGATTCCTTGGAGTAACATTTCTCATTGATTTTTTCTCCATTGGTGAGAGTGGCCTCGCTCACAGTTGGTGTGTTGCGTGCGACGACCACCTTTGGAGGCATTGTGATGGGGCTCTCTGACATAACCATGATGAGTCCTCACACTGAGCTCATATAAAAAGTTCAAAAGATGACCGGAAGGTATGAATGAACTAAGGCCAGGGATTGAAGTGGAAGATTGAAAAGAAAAAGTTGACAATCCAACCAGGGCGAGTCTTCTATTTTTGAAGTGAATCATGTCAAGACTTTTTTTTTCCCACCAAACCCACCAAGATCAGCCATACATCCCTTCTGCACTCCCTTCGCTTCTTCTTCCCAATCAAGATTTCGTCTTTCCCTTTTGGGCGTCACCGTTCGCAGTGATGCCTGGTGACGCCCATTTCCATCTCGGTACTTTTTGCCCTGGTCTTTTTTTTTTCCCGTCTCTTTTGAGTTTGGCTCCGAAATTGAGGCTTGCATTGCATATGATCCTATTACTTTTACCATTTTATTTTTATTTACCTCATTTACTCCATTTACCTCCCAGGTGTATGACACTATCACATGGGGGGGCGTCCAGACCACTAGTGCATAATGTCTTTCTTGCCAATCAGCAATCAAGGAACCATCCTACTCCCTTGCCTTCAGCTTCTTCATGTTCGGGGAAGTATCTGACGAAACCCCCGGATCCACGCTGTAGCCTGTCAAACTTTGTCTGATCGTCCAAAGGGAAGCTCCTTCCCTTTAGGGAGGAAAGGGAGAGAACAAAGAATGAGCTCATCGAGGTGTGATGCAACCCCAACTAACTTCGATATCTCCACAATTACCCTACTTAGGACCCAGTGGAAGCGGATTCCGAGGTACTATCACGGGCCCCGGTACATGGTCAGGGTATGCTTGACCAGTCCAGATGGGGGGACGCAAGCGCCGGATATGATAGGGCCAGTGCACTGGATCATACGGTCAAGAAAGCCTTCAATAGAACAGACGATCTGCAGCCGAGGGATGGCGTCGAGTGGGCAAAGGTCCCATTCCGGATGCGCCCTCGAGGCGCCATCAACAATGACAATGTGGATCTATGGGAGGTGTGGCGGAATGGATGCCATGAGTTAATGCAATAACCCGCGCGGATGACAGACCGGTTCATGTTTGTTGGGATAATTTTTTGCTTTTTTTTCAGTCTTTTGTATTTTTTTCAACGCACGGTCGATCATCAGAATGCAGCTGAGAGGATATCCGCACTAGTATATCCGATTCCCAGCCCCTCTTTTTTTTTTTTTTTGATCATGGCTGCTGATCTCCACCCACCGCCGAGGTACTGGTTACCATGCACGGGTGGCAGTACATATCTCGGAAGTGGGGCGTTGTTTGAGTTGATCTTTTTTTTCGTTAGTCGATCTGGGATCTGAATCCGGGAGGGGAAGGGAATAGATTCAAGTCTCCACACAGAATACCAGGGTCTCCACTGTATATCAGCTGCATGTTTTGGGCATCCACAGAGATATTGGGTCAAAACAGGAGATTTCATTTCCTTCAAACGTCAGAGATATATATGACAGCGGAGGTCCACGTAGTCCGTGTGTGTTCTAGGCTGATATGGCCAATATCGGATCCCTTCGGGATGTACCCCTGTCCGAGCTCGTGGGAGACTGAAGAAAATGACATTTATTGACATTTATTGACATTTGCCTAAAGAAAGAATGTGATCTGTGATATTAAAGTTTGGAGTATATCTCACGATCCGGTCGATCTCTGATCTTCTACGGAGTACCCATTATAAACTATATCTCACGCAAGGTCAAGAGAAACCGGGAACCCGGACCAAAACCCGAGATCTGTGGCTCAGCTTCTTAAGGGCTAACGGATTAGTAGTGTCAATCTATTTAATTTTTTGATCTATTGGTCAATTCCGCCACAATGGATTACGCTAAGGACATTTAGTGTCAAACATGTTTGGTGGAGCCCGATGTACCTCCGTGGAGTAGTACTTCCAGCACTACAACTTCCAAGGTTGCTATGACATACTCTTTTTTTCTATTTTACTTTTGCCCTTGCTCTCTAGTTTGAGTTCAGTTCAGCTCCTTGATTTTCAGTATTTTTGAGTATATTTTGATTAATTTATTGGATTCGCTGAATTTCACCTTACAGTGGTGTGTGGACACTAGCGCATTACATAATCAGTGTGTATTCCAAATCCCCAAGTGGGACAGCCCATGTCCAAGGTAAAATCAAATAGAGAAGAAATGGAATATACATTTACCTATATAATCCCCCGAGAGCATGGACTCTTTTACCTTAGACTTACTCTTATATATTACAATCTAACACTTCCCCTTCCTCTTCTTCTCTTTAACCATGGGTTGGAACAATATGTCTTCAAACAATATGCAACCTCAGGAGGCCTACTCTGACTTGCTAAGTTTCACATTCGATGGCCCAAAGCCTTACAACCAGAATCAACCACTGTTTATTGATGCCGAGGATCCTTCCCGATCATTCACAGCTGCCCAATTCCGACAACTAGTCCGGACCCTGATCGCTGGTTTGAAAGCCCACAATATCCAGCCAGGGGATTGTGTATTGCTACACTTGGGAAATAGCGTGAGTGAAAAAGAAAAGAAACAAAAACAAACGGCATCCTTGATATCAAAAATCAAATGTGTTGAAGAGTCTCGGAAGATTAAAGAAAACAATACTAACTCGGGCCTGTCATATGCAACAGATACTATATCCCGCACTCTTCTTCGGTATAATTGGCGCAGGCGGTGTCTACATGGGCTCAAACCCCCGAAGCCACCCCCAAGAACTCGATCACATCCTCAGTCTCGCCGAACCAAAACTGATCCTCACAACCCGCGATGCCCTCCCTACCGTCCTTGACGTCTCCGCAGCCCGAGGCATCCACCCAGCCCAAGTCTGTCTCGTGGACGACCGAGCCATCGACCACTGCGCCCAACTATTTCTCTGGCATGAACTCGGCTATTCAGCAGCCGGCCAATTCTTCGCAATGAGCAGCGATGCCCGTCACAACAACTTCGCAAATCTACTTTGCTATGGCGAAAGCGACTGGCTGAAATTCTCCGATCCTGTCATCGCACAGGCCACGCCTGCAGCTATGTACCCGACCAGCGGTACCGGCGGACTACCCAAAGCAGCAATCTTGTCCCACTATGCACTTGTCTCACAGCACCGTACCATTTACTACGAAGTGCCTCATCCAGTCAGCCGTCTCATCTCGCTGCCTATGTTTCATCTGTTCGGCGCGCTTTGGACACATCTCTTCCCTGTCCGATACGGACATCCATTGTTCGTCCTGCCGCGCTTCGAGGTCAATGATTTCTTGGCTGCTGTTCAGAAGTACCAGATCTCGGAGACTTATCTCGTCCCGGCTATCATTCACTCGATCAATCAGTCAACCGTGCCTATCGGTGATATGTTGTCGTCGCTGCGCTATGTTGGTGTTGCTGGCGCTCCTATTGATGGTCATTCCATGCAACAGTTCCGCAGATATATCAATCCCATGGGATATGCTTGTCAGATCTGGGGAATGACCGAGGTCGGTGTTACATTCCAGACTCGCTATGGCCAGCAGGGCGACCCGGGCAGTATTGGTACCTGTATTGCTGGGTACGAGGCCCGGTTGGTGGAACCTGATGGTAAAATCGTGCAGGGCGATTGTCGCTCCGGTGAATTGTACGTCCGTGGACCGGGTCTGCTTAGTGCATACAAAGGCCGCACGGACGCATTGGAGCCACATGGATGGTTCCGAACGGGAGATGTGGCGTACGTCAAGCAGGGCCAATATTACATTGTTGGACGGACGAAGGAGCTCATCAAAGTACGAGGGTAAGTCTATCAGGCCCTTCATCAATCAACAAAATACTAATTATTCTATAGATGGCAAGTCGCCCCAGCTGAAGTCGAAAGCGTCCTCCTCCAACACCCAGGAATCATCGACGCCGCCGTGATTGGCGTGCACAAGGATGGCGTGGGCGAGCTTCCACGGGCATTCGTCGTTCGCTCTCGCGACCCATCCGTTCGCCGCCTAACCGCCGAACAGGTTTACAATTATGCACGCCAGCAGCTGGCGAAATACAAAGCTCTCGATGGAGGTGTCATATTCGTGGAAGAGATTCCACGCACTGCAAGTGGAAAGATTCAGCGGTTCAAGCTGTCACAAATGAACTCCTATCGGGAGATGGTGGCGTCGTTGCTATCCGGATTTGAAGGTGACGCTTCTGCAGCCACTCGACGTGGACTACCCGCTGCAAGGTCCCCTATTGGTCTCATCCCGGAAGGACGGGTGGCAGTCTAAATTAAGAAAGGGGCGGTACTTTGCACGATCTACGGCGCATATGAGTTGTATCCTCATTCAGCGGTGAAGTGCGGTGAAGCGGCGTTTGGCAAGGCGTTATGGGGACATTTGGTTTTTTTGCATTTACTTTTTTTTGTTTTCCTTTTTTTCGGGTGGTCGTCACATCCTTTTTTTAACGACTTAGACAACCTCCTGGTTTTTCCTATAGCTTTATTCTCAGCATTGGGATTCAATTTACATATTTTTCAAACGTATCATAATAGTAAACATAGTAGACATCGTAAACATGATAAGCATGATAAACATCATCAACGTTGTAAAAAATTGTAAACACCAACCTATATCAGGTCAAACTAATGCACCTTTCCAGGGGCAGTCCGAAGCAGTGAGACTCTACCCCGTACACCGCCCTTCCAAAAGTCCCTGTCCCAAGGTCCCGGTTTTCGATCGGATCTCGGCTGAAGAAATATGATGTATTCAACACACAAATGCAATTAAGTCGATCCCGTTCATGCACATGCATCCTACGTGGGTCCTGGGTAGTGGGTAGCGGTAACACGGAATCCGAATCCGAGTCCGATGGAACCCACGCGCCAATGGATTCTGCAGAAGTGGAACGTTTCTTTCTATGCAAGGGGCATCCTGGGAGATCTACGGAGCTAAAGAGGTTAATTATTGATCCCGATTAGGTTGCTTAAGCGCTTTGGATTGGGTTTCTAGTTTAAATTTGGGTTTAGGGCTAGATATAAATTATATAAATTATACTAGATATTCAATATTCAATATAGCGGGTCCATACCATCAACTCCTACTATATCCGGCGTAATTCCAAGGTCTTCATCCGAGAGTCCGGGCCGCACACGGGTTCAACGGGATGTTACATCGGCCCGACATTCACACGTCAAGTCTGTCAAGTCTGTCAGGTCTCCTTGCTTTTCTCGGGGGTATGTTTACCCTCCTTTCAGTAAATGGAGAAATATCAATAATACCTTGCATGGGGCGTAAACAAAGATAGGTCCTTCGAAACTGATACATATGACGCAGAATACTGTCGGAAAGAGAAATGCAGAAAATGTTAGTTCCTCGATGTAAATATCTTCCGAATCACGAGGGCTGAATTAAATAATTTATTTTCGTTGCGTGATTTTGTTGAGTGACATATGCAATTGAAAGCTCGGATGTTGAAGACATGTCAAATCTACAGCCTCAATGTCGAAAACATGTCTATATCGAGAGAATGAACTGGAAAAAGCAAAGAAAAAAAGCAAATTCAAATTGAAGCAATGGGCTGGTCATGCATCTAGAATATACGAATATACTATTCTGTATGCATCTAGAACGTATATATAAAACTAATCACATCAAGGATAACCCTGCAAGTTCCTCGATCATTCCTCGAGAATTATTAGTAGTTCTAGTAGAATGTCGATAGAACTGCCAATTCCTCCCACCGGAATCCGACTTGAGCACATAGACTGGGAAAGCAAAGTTCTGCTCTCGCTGGGTACCGATTGGATAGGTAGTGATATCTATCTCGATGAAGGTCTGTCGTTGGCCTGGATGTGCGTCTACGGAAAGGCTCCACTGTATGTTATTGTTTTCCCAGTCGGTGAGAAAAGGTCGTATATAGAGAAACGCCAAGGCTAGGGGACTGCCGGGACAGCGACGCTGTGCAGGAATGATGACAATTAGACGGAGTCTGCGTACGTTCAAAATTGTGTTGATGATTTCTTGTCGGAGGGCAGTCGCGTTGACGGGTGAGAAAGAAAGAAGGGGATGATGGTGTTCGGACATTGCGATTTGGATTAGGGATTTTTTCCTGTTCGGATGGGCTGGAGAATCGACTACTTATTTGATGTTGAATTATACTATCAACAAGGGGCTTTGTGTATGTTGTCATTGTGTTATGTCTTGGTGGATGTGGTTCATGTTTCAAAGGTAGATCAATGGCTTTATATATGCTTTGTTATTCTGTCAATGGGGATAGATCGATGGAACCCATATTAGTTTCATGCTGAGATTTTCATCTCTGATCCTCATCAAAGCAATCAGAATCCTTCCCAATGCAACTCCTATCTACAACAACACTTCTTTATACTACATCCATACTGTCCACCCTCAGTCTCAAAAAATACCATACCCCATCCACCAAACACCCCAAATCAAAGGTCCCAAAGCCCCAAGTACAGCCGCCCCAAATGACAACTCCAGAATACACCAAATCCAAATAGTCCCAACAGCCGGCGCTTTCTTCATAACCGCATAATACGGCTCTCCATTCGTGATAGCGATAAGATGCGCCCCCAGCAACGCAGCAATAGGAAGAAACACCAAAGTCCGGAGCGCAGGCGGAAAAACCAGCTTCCGTAGGAATGAAAATGTCAATTTTTCACTTGTAAATGGGAACAACGAAGGAGCAGGCTCTGCCTGTACATTCTTCGAACCGCGCTTGTTGAACGAGATGATATGACCATGTGCCAAATGAACGAATAAAGTAAGGAGAGGAAAAGCAGTCGTGACAGAATCTTTGAAGAGTTTCGGCAGGTCGGTATTTTCAGCGTATTGGTGGGCTGCGAGGTAACTCAGGGTGAGGTGTAGTGTTGTCAGAGGCAGGGAAAGAAGAATCGTGTCGAGGAATGGTGGGAGGGGTTTATCGGTTTCGGGTTCAGATTCGGTGTCGGATTTCTTGACAGTGTTTCCATTTGAACCCTGTTGAGTCTTTTTGGTGTTTTGTGAGCCATTCGATGCGAGATGGCTGCTGATGTCGCCGTCCGTGTCGACCAAATTCCCAGACGCGTCGACTGTCACGAATCGCGTTCCCCCTGACTGTGACGGTATGCCTTGTCCTTCTACCGAAGCTGGAATTGATCCCCCCTTTTGATGCAGGGCGCTTTGTCGCTCTGCGATGATGTCATATAGTGTGCGCTCGACGGTTGGTTTGTCTTTGGTTGGGTCGTTGCGTGGGGGGTGGGCCATGGAGATTTCGGGTTCGGAGGCTTTAGAAGAGGATACAGCTGCCGCGCGGCGCTGTTTGCGATTCCTTGCTTCCATTCTGTTCAGGCTGGTGTAGAGGGATGAGGAGTGGCGAGGGAAAAAGGTAACAAACACTGACGTGGAGAAATGAGGTTGAGGCTCGGCGATAAGACATAAGCCGGGGTTAAGGGAATCGCCAGTTGGCTCCTAGCTCTATAACTTTCATTTATATTTAGATCTATATATCTCATGGTTTGGTAATATGAAAACAAACTTTTATAAATTGATCCTGCTAATTCTCTGCACCCTTTGACACACCCAGTAAATACACGAGCTGACCACTCATTCAACCAGCTTGATACATAGCTGGACCGGCGACCACATGCGGGTCAATCAGGCTCAGATTGAACGGGCTCAGATACGGATCGCTGTCGGTGATAGCAATGAAAATGGTACCGTTGAAAGCTGGGTCGCTCTGGTACGTTTCCAAACCGGGCTGGATAGTATATCCTCGAATGCCATCAGGGGTACTGTTGGTAGTGTTCGTGCCGTTATTGGTACCATTGACAACGTGCAGAGGGGTGTAGGTAATGTTCAGCTGCGACACCCAAATGACAAACTTTGCGCTCCCAGCTTTCGTCTCTGTTGTAGTTATGTAGCTGTTATTGGGACCAATTTTCTTCCCGGGAAGATCCCACTGCAACAGCACCCGACGACCCGGCGCCGTGAGAGGTACTGGGCGGGTTTTGCTGACAGGAACGGGAGGAACGATACCCGAAGTAGACGAATTAAATCTTCCGGAGCCCTTTGGTGACTTGGGGATACTGACACCTGGTCCGACAGTATTATTGTTTCCTGTGGTCTGATTGAACATGAATCCCGAAGTCTGATTGAACCCGGAAGTCTGGTTGAGTCTTGAAATCTGATCGGCACTCGTAGTGAAATTATACCCCGAACTTCGGTTATTGCCCGAGGAAACATTGCGAGAAACAGTCCCCAAAATCCACGGATTAGGCTCATTGACCACCATCAGCGATGGGAAATTCTGCCAAATCAAACGGGTTTGATTCTCAGGACAAGAGCTGATGAATGGTGCCAGCAGCGTCCAAGCCCAGGACTGCGGTATGCCAGCTTCAAACCACTCAACCATCGGGAAGAGACCCTCGAACTGGCGGAAGATCATTTGCTGCCTTGCTTCCGTGGTGATGGACTGGGTCAAGAGAGTAGCCGCCTCGCGCGAGTCAAGATGAGCCAAAAACCCATATATGCCAGATTCACCCCAGCGAGTGAGTTTCTGGCAGAAGTCGACAAACTCCTTGACGTTCGTGTACGGGTAGATATAGCTGCACTGCTGTGGGGCACGGTCTCCGATGATGTTGCTGAGCATAGTGGCGTGGCCTATCTCTTGCTGGGCCATGAATGCGATCAACTCACGGTCTGCAGCAGTCAAACCAGCGGCGCGGAAGGCTGAATTGTTGAAGCGCTTGAGTCCGTCTTGGAAAAGATCGAGCTCAATCCATTCTTGGTATAGCGCAAGGGCCTGTTGGTTATAGATTAGCTTTTAGACCCCAATACTGATTTGTGAATTAGTGCGGATGCATACTAGAGACTCGTAATCGAAATCGCTCTTCGTGTTGTACACAGGCGTGCTCCCGTTGGTCCCGACACCACCTGCTGGGACATATGGAGCAGGCTCGGCATGGTGAAGCTTTCCATCGCCGGGATATGTTGTCGCTCCGGCTGCAACGCCTCCGCGAGCGATGCCCGTTCCGATCGAGGAAGCTGTCAGCGCACCTGTGGTAGTCGGAGTTCCAGTAAAGGGTGTGTGCGGCCTGGAGCTATTGTAACTGCGAAGTGGAGGCGCTGAAGCTGATGCATTGGCTGCAATTGGAGATGGCAGTGACGGGTCAAGGGTTGTTGTCGCATCCTTTTGGTGTTTCTTTGGAGACGAAACCGCGAAAGGCAGGGAGCCCAATAGGCTTAATAGAATGAAACTATTCCACATCATCTCTGCTCCAGGTTAAGATTTCTTTAATTCAAGACAAAAGAAGTGTTCTTATCACTGGTCATTGAAGAATTCGGTTAGTTGTATCGTTCAAAAAGCGTCGGATAGGTACGGACCTTTCGTGAAGTACATATAGTGTTCAGCCAATATCACATATCAATGATCACCAGCCAAAGCAATCCAACGCGGCCCTTGGTTTTGTAAAAAAAATCACACGATGGTTAAAGACATCGCCCAAATGTGGGTAACTTTGAACGGGGATGAATTCCGAATGGTGGAATTGCCACATGGTAATGTTAAGGTTCTTTATAATTTCAGCAATTTATTCTCAGGACGTTCTTCATACACTTGGCTGTAGTTGCAAGATGCAATTCGCACAACGGGATGCTTCGGCAGTGAATGACGTCGGATTAGGCTCTTCCCAACATTCTATGGACCTCTACAGATCAACATACAAACATATCTGGGTGGAAATTGAATCCGGCCGGACGCTGCCGGATATTTTGAAGGGAACAGGGGGCTATGCGAAAGTTAGAGCTATCAGAATAAATAAACTGTCAACGGAATCCATATGCAATCTTTCTCATATAGTCCTGCAATATCAGACCCAACACAAAGCAGAAAAAAAAAACTTGCATTAAAACATAACATTCATGGATTCGTCAACCTAACTATGAGAGTATCAGACCTCACTGTGTCCGCCAGCCACCTTCCCCTGAAAAGTGACCATAGGTGTCACAATGGGGCACATTGGCAGTGATCCTCACTCCATTAGACCAAATAATCTCCATAGTAGAGCCCATAATAGTCGCCGTGAAAGGTTCTCGACTCTGTAAGGACTGGTGGATACTTTCGAGTTCCTTCCAAGGAATATTGACGACTGCAGGGGCCCGTTGAAATGGAGCCGCCGGTTTCCCTTGAGCGTTCTTTTCGAATACCCACGGCTCGCCGTTAATCATGAACACACCAGCCAGAGAATTTCCATTCTGACTAGTCAAGGACCCGGTCCATTGAGGCATGACTAGATAGTCAGTAAACAACCCTGCAATCTTAGAAAAGGTGCTTACTGGGTAGAGAATGGGAACTGAGAGAAGGGGGAAGGAGTTGTAGATGACTATGTTCTTCTTTTGGCTGGGATTTATGTGTTCAAAAGAAGCAAAGAGATGGGGAGACCGTTTCTCCCAGCTGCATAAAATTATCGCTTTGTTCGTAATGTTGCATTCAACCATACAGACAATGAAAAGTTTCACGACTTCGTGCTTCTTGACCGCTTGTTTTTTTCTTTCATGCAACTCTTATGCGTCTTGGGATATGGTAAAGGTAGTTCGAGTTGAAACGAGGGGCTTTTTAACCGATCGTAACAGTAAATCACATCAAATTGAAACTCTTCAAAAGTACCTTACAGCTTCGTATGTTGTATGGAGTAGATGATGCAGCTTTGGACCTGATCTGCACTAGGATATCACAATGCGGTACATTAAGCCGATCAGCAAGGATTCGGTTCAAGAATACGAAACGAAGTAAAATTTAGATTCTCCAAAATCACAGCTGAGTGACCATGCCCATTTCTTTGTCTCCTACCACCGCATTCTGTGCAGTGACAAACCATTCAAATCCAAACTCCCTCTTTGCACGACCCATCCACTTCATCAGATTAAGTCGCTCGAAACCCGACCCATCGTCGATCGCGACATTCAAGAAATCGGCCGTAGTAACTCGCATCGTTGGAAGATAATCAATGACCCCGACTTTGCGACCAGAAATTGCCGACATGAAGTTTGAAACCATGTCCTCTGCCAGTGTTTTGACTGGTACAAGGTCCATGTATCCATCCCAGTGACACTCAGTTGGTACACAACGCATGCGCCCCACCAACTCTCGAATTTGTTCTCTCCAATCCTCCGTCGGACCAGGTAGATCATGTCCTTGATTCGGACGATGTGCAACAGTTGATAGCCCAACAAGTTGAGCAGCGCAGTCGAGGAGACGCTCGCTCGCCCACTTGGATGCGACATAGCCTTGTTGGCCGTTTGGTGGCGGCTCAGATCCTACATTCATCACGCCGCCGCTGGATAGGAAGTGAATTGGGACGCGGCGGCGGCTGGCGAGTTCGAGTAGGACTTTGGTGCTTGAGACGTTGGGTTCTCGGACAACGGAGTATGCATCCCAGAAGGAGCGGTTGGCGGCAGAATGAATAATAAGGTCGGCTGTGTCGGATAGAGAGCTGAATGTGTTTTCATTCAGACCCAGTAGGGGAGAGGAAAGGTCCCCATCATGCAGTGTTAGCTTTGGCGATGGGGAAGGTAGAGTGCGACCGCCGACACCTCGGGGACGGACTGCAATTGCATGGATATGGGCAACGGCTGGATCAGAAATCAATTTGCGGTAGAGGGCTTTGCCCAAGAAACCAGTAATCCCGGTGAGGACCACAACCAGGTTTTGTTGTTTGACTGGTGTAGTGATCTCGTGGTTTCCTGACCCCATGAGTAGCTTGGGGAGAGTTATTTCGGCCTCCCAATCAATGACAGTCGTTGGGCTCGCGGCCTCGAGTTTCTGTGACATGGCCTTTAAAACACTATGCTCGAAGAGATCCATCAGAGGGAGGGTGACTTGAAGTTCTTCGTGGATCATGGCTTGGAGCTTGACCAGGAGCACAGAACTACCACCGACCATGAAGAAATCAGTGTCACTCGGAATGCTCAAGATATCCACAATGCCTTCATGGAGAACCCTGCCCCATATTTCTCGCAATAAAGTCTCAGTTGGTGTCAGCTTCTCGCTTCCCTCGGAGTCGACGCTGGACTTGGTTGCTTTGGGGAGAGGAAGGGCATCGACAGCCCGGCGATCAACCTTCCCATGCGCAGTGAGAGCCAGCTTGTCGACAGCTACAATAGCAGCCGGGCACATATACTGCGGCAATGGAAGGTCCTTCTTTAACTGGGTCAGCATAGCATCGATGTCGCCTTGGAAGCGAGGAGCCAGAATGACAAAGGCAACAAGTTGCTGGTTCTCTTTCCCACGGATGGAAACGACGGCTTGGATCAATGCCCCGCTGGAGGTTTCTACGAGCGTATTCTCGATATCTTCAAGCTCCATTCGGATTCCTCGAATCTTGACCTGCGTGTCACCGTCTAGTCGACCATCAATTACAAGTTCTCCACCGGGAAGAAGATAACCTCGGTCAAAGGTCCGATACGCCTTGGTCCAGCCCTGATCGAGGTACTCGGGCGGCGCGAAGGTGTTATCAACGAGCTTCTCCTCATTCAGGGCATCCATGTTGAGATATCCTATGAAGGGCCCGGCACCTCCAATGAGAATCTCACCAGAGACACCTGGAGGCACGCATCGCATTTCCTTGTTGACGATGTAGGTGCTGTAATTAGGCAAGGAGTGCCCGACAGGATAGATGTTTCCCGGTGTAGACTTTTCATTCTTGTGGTCGATTTCCATTTTATGGCAAGATATCGTGATCTCGCCCGGGCCGTAGGAGTTGAACAGACGGAGACTAGGAATTTCTAGAGCGCGGAGCCTTTGCGCAAGACTGGTCGTGAGATGCTTGCCACCACCGAAGGCGAACTTCCACGCTGATGCGCGGCGAAGGTAGTCAGAGCCATAGTAGAGCCACTTTGCGTACTCTGGTGGGGTCGCTTTTGTGTATGTGATGCTTTCATCAGCGACCAACTTTGCCAACGATATCGGGTCACCCCGAAGGGATTTTGCGACCACAATGACACATCTGCCGTTAGATAGACCTGTGAGCGTTGGGTCGAGGGAGTGATTGAATGTCATGCCCCCCTGCTGTAGCACCATCTCGGCACCTAGTCCCCACCTCCCGATATACCCCTCGATTTCGTTCATGGGGCTTGAATGGCGAAGCTGAATACCCTTGGGTCGGCCAGTGGTTTCACTCGTATACAAAATGACTGCACGTGCCTGGGGCTCAGATTTGACCTCAATTTTTGGCGCAACCCGAGCGGAGGTAATTGTAGAGAGGTTAATAACATGGGCTTCCGGATAGCTAAGTCCGTCCATATTCGCTCGACTCTCGGGTATCATCGCTGCAAACGATGACCCGAGGCTGACAATCCTGGATCATTGTCACAAGACGAGGCACTGGGTTCCTCAGATCAAGTGGCACATAGACGAGATTTAACTTCCAGATGGCGAGCATAAAAGGTATTCAGTTTGCGGTAGGGTGAAGAAAGAGACAGACTGGTGAATCAAGAGGAAGGTTGAGAGCGAGCAACGCCGCGGCAATCATGTTGGTGCGATCAATCATCCCGCTATACGTGAAGGCCCGGTCTTCTGTATCCTTGATGGCAACTTTGTCAAGATTCTGAAGGGCGATTTCCTCAATTCTTTTGGAAATAGTCAACGGCCAATTCGAGCTGCTAGAGGGACCCTTGCCAAGGTGAATGTCGTCATGCCGTAAAGCTTCATAGATGGGAACCGTGTCGAGATTTTGATCGAAGTCAGCTACTAATGTCGAGACAAGGCTGAGGAAACTCTTAGCAACCAGCTGCGCTGCATCAGAATCATAGAGTGAGCTCTGCAGGCGGAAGGAGGTGAATCTTAGACTTCCGCACCGGCCCACAAAGCCCAAAGCCCAGCCTAACCCAGCCCGTAAATGGGCTGGGTTTTGGGCCCGGTCCTCGGGCCTATAGTAAAAGCCTATAGGGCTTTAATAGCGGCCTATTAGCTCCCAAACAATACAAATATGCCAAGTTAAACCCCCTTTTCAGTTTTTTTTTAATTATGTACCCTATAGTTATTTTGCCCCGTTTCTAAGCCTTATCTCTAATGTAATATTATATTAGTTTAAATGATCTAGAATCGATTACTCCGTACTAGTTGTTTCTCTAAATCATATTTAAAAACACGAAAAATTCGTTTATTTATAATTTCTTAAAATTATAGAGGTTCTCTAGAAAGTGGTGGTACTCCCGTATAAATCGTAAATATATATCTAATATTAAAATATCAACTTTCACATTTTCTATAATATCTCAACTTCTACCGATCGGATTTTATTTAAAATCAAAATATACACTTATAAAGCTAATATAAGCCTAGATTCTGAATTTGAACTTTATGCGACTGGTAGGAGGTCGTAATATAGCGATTATAGAGGCTGGTAAGATAGGCTTTCATAGGGGCCTGTAAGGCCCCTATGAAAGCCTAGTGGGGTGACTACACACCAGGGGTGTGTTACACACGGGGTACTCAATTGGTGCCTTAGGTTGCTAACACCTGTAGTCACCGACAGCGTCGCCGATCAAAGAGGGGAACCCCTAGAATGGCGAGACCGGCGGGGGTTGATGGCTCATTCCTATAAAGCACATCACTCCCAGTTCTCTTTCTCTTTCTCAAACATCCCTGAACTACCCAACTAATAAACATGTCCCATCTTCAAGCATCAAATCTATTCTCAGTCAAGGACCGGGTGGTCGTGATCACCGGAGGCGGAAGTGGTAAGCCCCAAACAATCAAATCCCATAAATACACATGTACACATAATCTAATAAAACCATAGGCCTCGGACGTATCATGACCAAAGCCCTAGACGCCAACGAAGTCTCCAAGATCTTCATCCTAGGCCGACGCGAAGACGCACTCAAAGAAACCGCCTCACAAAGCATAAACGGAACGGTGATCCCAATCCAATGCGACATCACCTCAAAGGAATCCCTCGAGACAGCCTACAATGCCGTCGCAGCCCAAACATCTCACGTCGACCTCCTAATCGCCAACAGCGGCGTAATGGGTCCACTCATGAAACCCCCACAACCCGCAGAAGACGGGTCCCTCCCGCCTCTCTCACAAGTCCGCGACGAACTCTTCAACGTCCCCATGGAAGAATTCAACACCGTGATGAACGTGAACGTTACCGGGTCTTATTACACGGTTCTGGCATTCCTGCCTCTGCTTGAAGCGGCGAATAAGCGTCGTCCTGCGCCGCAGGAGAATGTGCTTGCTGCACCGACTGCGCAGGTTATTATCACCAGCTCGATTGCTGGGTTTATTCGCAAAGTGCCGTTTAGCTTTGCGTATAACGCTTCCAAGGCGGCGACTACGCATCTGGTGAAGATGCTTTCTACTTCGTTTGCTTATTACGATATTCGGGTTAATGGCATCTCGCCTGGTCTTTATTACTCGGATATGGCGAATCATATCTTCCAAGGTGCTGGAATTCAGGGTCAAGCTATTTCTGATGGCTCGTTCCCCAAGGAGATGATTCCCGCTACTCGTGGGGGTAGTGAGGAGGACTTTGCCGGGTTGATTGTTTGGTTGGCGAGTAACTCGGGCGGTTATATCAATGGTAATATCTTGGTTACTGATGGCGGTCGGATTTCGATTTCGCCTGCTGTCTACTAAGTGGTGGATTGTTCGGGCTACGTGCAGTTTGGGTATACATAGACCGTACAGATTTGAGCTTCAATGAAGATAGAAATATGTAGAGTGCTTGATTTCCAGATAAGAATGTTTAATCGCTCATGGGTGGGACGCAAATAAAACGCACGAATCGAAGATACTCATCGAGCTAGTCTCAAGGTCATGGTCCAACCATTCAGTAAGTCGCTGTCAATCGCTGGACCAGGTAATCCCCAGAAGTAATCGCCGAGTATTTCTTGTCCACTTGGATTTCCTCGCCAAATGTTCCCGGCAACGCTTCAATAAGTTTGTCATTGTTGGGCTGGCAGAAATACGCTATGCTGTACCGAGCAGGATAATCCGAATCATCGTCATCAGAGCCCTCGGGCGCGGGCGGCTGAATTACCCGATGACGGGTACTCTTGATGGTGTCATTGGACCATCGAGCAAGCAGATCCCCAGCATTGACAACAATAGTATCAGCAATGGGAGTCGCATCCACAAAAGTTCCCTTGGGACTGCGCACTTGCAGCCCACCGTGTTTATCCTGGAAAAGCAGAGTGATTGAACCGTAGTCGCTGTGCTCGCCGGCACGGACTTGGTTAGGGTTATTTTTGAAGACCTCTTTGCTGACGGGAGGATAGTGAAGCAGACGGAGATTATTGTCACCGACATTGACAGAGTCATCGAAGAAGTGCTCCGGCAAATTCATTCCCAATGCAATGGCCTGCATGATATGCTTATGTAGGGTCTTTCCCATTTCAAAGAATGATTGCATAGTTTCTTTGAATTTCTTTCCTTCGTCATCGAGATGATCGGGCCAGCGATTAGGTAGACCCTCAACGCCCTCGCGACCAAGTTCCATAGTTTCTTTGATATCTGGTGCGGATGCACGTAGAGTATCGACTCCATCTGTTTCGTCGACGGTCGTTAACTTCTCCCGTCCGATAGCGACGTAACCACGGTTCGACTGTGGGGTCGTCCAGCCCAGAGAGTCTTTCTCACTTTGGGGGCGGGCGAAGAAACGGGCAGATGACGCAAATACCCCGGACACAACGGATGGGGGAATGCCATGCGCCTTGATGTAGACGAAGCCAGATGTTTTGAAGGCGTCAGTTATGGAGAGAGCGACGGCATGTTTATCGGATGGGGTCCCTGTAAAGAAGGGACCGAAGTCGATCAGCTAGGAGATATTCTATTAGTCGTAGCTTGAGATAACCAGAGACATCGCATACCGGTATCTTCAAATCATCCTTATCTACCGCAGAGGCAGAATGGATCTCTGGGGAGGCGTTGGAAGCCATTGCGTACACTGCTCCTGGGAATTGGTACTATTACTGTAGGGCAAATTTGAGACAACAAAAGTGTGTAAAGTGAATTTCGAAAAGGGAAGATCTCAAGAAGAGGGGGAAAGTCGGGAAAAAGGATCATAGCCCTGGAGGTCAGCTGCAATACATCAAAAAGCCCCTGGAGATAAGCACGCAGATAAGGTAGATAAGCCGTTTAAACGTTTGACATCTTACATTTGCATTAGATTGGATATTGGCATTTGAATTGGCTATCAGTCAAATTAATTGCCATATTCGGACTTGATCTGACAATCCACTCTCCACACTGACCCTGCATTGTGGACATGTCTTAATCTTCGGGCCATCTCAAATACCCATATCACTTCAGAGAGCAAGCAAAAAAAGAAACTAAATACGCTTCTCACATATGGTGATGAATGGCGACAGGACTCCTCCAAGGAACAAGCGGTGGGATTCCACATCTTGCACCACAACAGTCGAAGTAGGAAGCCATTTCGCATCTCGGTCCTCCACGAGCTTCGAGACCTCACAATCCTTCCCGCTCCGAGTTCTCAACTGAGTGGTTATCCCATTGACCGCGAGAACGGTAGCAGGAGCAACAACTCTATACGGGTCCTCCATGGACTTCACAAACGCAATGGAGTTCGGAATTCCGGCAGCAAGGAGGTTCCCATCTGCATCGAGAGACAGATTATCGATCGGGTATCCCGTGGAGATTTTGTCAACTTGAATCAGCCGGTCGCTAACTACTGTGTGGACAGTCACGAGTCCAGTCACTGAATGAGACACATAGTAAAGCCCGTTCTCTTGGACGATCCCGTTGGCAAAGGAAAAGCCCTTGTTGGCAGCGACATGACATTTTCCTGTGTCAGTTCGACAATAGGCGAGACTTCCTCCGCCAATCAACATTCCCAACTCCGGGAAAGTGTCAACCTTTGCGTTGCGATCATTGGTGACCACGAATACCAGACCGTCCTTGTCAACGGCCAAGTTGTTAGGCGAGATGATCGCCTCGCTGGCTATAGTTTTGGCGTGCTCAAGTATCTCCGAGGCATCGTCCAAATCAAATATCTCAATTGTCGAGTTCGCTCCAAAGGCCCGGGCATCAAGGGACTCCCCTGTTATAGGATCGATCGGGGGTCTATGATTGATCAGCCAGAATCGAAGTCTGCCTTCAACACTGCGCACGTCGAAGCCATGCAGATCCAGATCGCCAGAGTAACCACCAACTTTGAGCTTTCGCAGGCCATACAGCCCATCCGAGCCAGGGTGATCAATATTCAACACTGCAATATGATCCGTGCGAGTTCTCGCGGAGATGTTGAATTTGCTGCCACCCGGACTCCATCCCTTTCTTGTGTCTATAGAGCTGCATGCTGCGTACAGTTTTCGTCCTTGTTCATATAACCACATATCCTCGCATCCTTCTAAGAGAGGATGCTGCAGGCGAGTGCAAGTCCATGGGAATTCGTCAATTGATTGGATATTTCGACCGACGCCGATTGTGAGAAAGATGATGTTGTGCACATAGGCGTTGTACAAAACGCCGATGGCGAGCACAATCAAGGCCCATATCCCAATTCGCAGACTGAGAATTCGAGTCTGCGCCATTGTGAAGGAATAACGTGCCTAATTGAGGAATTGGTGTTCCGGGTTGATATCCACACTTAGGCCCCCGGGGCTAGTAGGCTAATACCTAGCGCTGATGTGAGAGCTAGACTTCATTCAGTTCATTGATGTTCCATGAATGAGAATGCTATATGCTTTGGGCATGCTTTAGATATGATGTGAATATGACCTCAGCCTAATATGTGCATATTATGAAGGTTGAGAGTCCTCGTCCCCACCACCTGAGTTCCACCTCGAGCGATTAATAATCCGCCCCGATTGGCCCGAGGCGGGGGACTCAACAGCTTCGACACATTAGCTTTCTATTTCTCTTCCTTCATCAGCTCAATTTCCAATACACACTATTTATCTCTTTTTCAACCCCTCGAATCCATTCGCCAAAATGCCGTTCATTGGAATTGTTATGTACCCCAATAATGCGGACATCCAGTTCGACGAGGCCTACTACATGAAGTCCCACATGCCACTCGTCGAAAGCACCTGGAAGCCCCTGGGCCTGATCAGCTGGCGTGTCACCAAGTTTCCCAATGCCCTCGATGGTTCACGATCTGAGTATCTGATCATGGCCACCCTCGAGTGGGAGAGCGAGGAGGCCTTGAAGTCTGCTCTACAGGCCCCTGGCACTGCGGGGGTGTTTGGCGATATCCCCAACTTCACCAACGCGAAGCCTGTCACTCTGGCCGGTGCTGACCTGCAAAAGTGATCGAGAGAGTATGTGGAATTCATTTCTAAATGTTTGGATCTTGCTAAAACTCAACAGTTATTCAATGTTACCAACGAATCAATGAAATAAATTGCATTATAGGTCCTTGGCATTTCTAATGAGAAGCTATATCTAGTACGTTTCGCATTTAAATTGCAATCCTTCAAATACGTAACAATCAAAAGGACCATTATCGAAGATATCGAAAATATCGAAGATATCGTAACATCGGACATCGGACATCGGAATCCTTCAGGCATCCCCGCTCTTATCTGTTCTCCCCTCATTTGGATCCCCCTGTAGTTACCTACTCCTGTACTCCTGTAATATTCTTCCCTTCTCTTCTCCCTATTCTATCTCGCATATCGCAAACATGTCTCGTCCTCTAGTAGTTGATGTTCACACCCATGTGTACCCTCCATCGTACATGGCGATGCTTCGCGCTCGCAAAACAGTCCCCTACATCCACGACCCAGCAAGCGGAGAACCACGCCTGATAATCCTCTCATCAGATGATGACCCATCCATTCCAATCGACGAGCGCGGTCGCCCCGTCGACACATCCTACTCCGACATCAATGTCAAGCTAAGCTTCATGAAACAGCATGGCATTGACAGCAGCGTGATCTCTCTCGCAAATCCCTGGCTAGACTTCCTCGATCCCGCCGAAGCCCAGCAATGGGCTGAGCGCATCAACAACGATCTAGAGGAAACCTGTGCCCAGAACAATAAGTCCACTGACCCGGACAACACCCTCCCTCTGAAAGGACGATCGACTTTGTTTGCTTTTGCCACTTTGCCGTTGAGCGCACCTAGTCCCGATATCATCGTTAACGAGATCAAGAGACTTAAGACCCTGCCTCATATTCGTGGCGTGATTATGGGGACTTCCGGACTAGGAAATGGTCTCGATGATGAAAAGCTCGGTCCTGTTTGGGCTGCGCTGGAGGAAACCCAGTTCCTTCTCTTCTTGCATCCTCATTACGGTCTCCCTGATGAGGCGTTTGGTGGTCCTGAGGTGACGAAGCGCTATGGTCATGTCCTCCCCTTGGCTCTTGGGTTCCCGCTCGAGACGACTATTGCGGTTACCCGCATGCTACTGTCCCGTGTCTTTGATAAGTTCCCGCGGTTGCAGATCTTGCTGGCGCATTCGGGTGGCACTTTACCGTTTTTGGCGGGGCGCATCGAGAGCTGTATTATGCATGAACGGAAGTTTGTGGAGAATGGTGGTGATGTTCCTGGTCCGCAGAGGAGTATTTGGGAGGTTTTGAAGACAAATATCTTCCTTGATGCTGTTGTTTACGGAACTGCTGGCCTCAAGGCTGCCGTTGCTGCTGGTGAGGGTACTGATCGTCTTATGTTTGGTAAGTTTTCTAGTATTGTTGGTATGGTTGGGGTTGCGTCAAACTAATATATTTTATAGGTACCGATCATCCATTCTTCCCGCCTCTGAATGAGGGTGAGAAGGAATGGATCAGCGTGACGACCAACTATAAGGCTATCGATGCCACTTTTGAGGGGCAACAAGAGGCTGTGGCTGCTGTGTTGGGCGGCAATGCTGCTCGTGTTTTGAAACTCGAATAAGCATTATACTATCTAGCATAAATATCATTATACTGGTATGCAGATACCATCATCTCAATAACAACTGGGGTATAAGGCAATAAAGGGGAACAAACGTGAAACAAACGTAGTACCAGGAGCACAAATTCCATGGTCCGAGGCCTTAGATTGGAACAAACACAGTCTTCAACACATCCCAGCCAACAAGCCGCCACAGCTCCTGTGTAAGCCAGTCCGAAAACGTGTCCTGGTCCATCTGTTGACCATCAAGTACCTGAGGAGGCGGAGTATGCGGACGTCGCAGACCCTCCCGAAACAGATGGTCATCAGGTCCGAATACAGCCCGGAGGAGAGACTTTTGCATACGATCTTTGGCATTTGCAACAAATTGACGAGCAGCCGATGTCTCGAGGGGCGATGGAAAGGATTTACCATTAAGCATTCTATCCAGAAGCCGAACGAGATAATTTGCTTCGAGTTGTGCCTCGTTTGGCATAAGACCCTCGTCAGTCATTGCTTCCAGTCCATCTGGGAATGTCATCCCAGGACAAATGCCCATTGGCAGTCGCAGGTCATGGAAAACATGGAGAGCTAGCATTTTCCCCATACGATTGAGGACAAGGAAAAGAAACCCTTCCAATACTTTCTGATCTTCCGTGCGAGTTAGATTCAGGGAAAGTGCCATTGTGCAGAGCAGGTCTGCGAGGCGAGAGGCCGTCTCATTCTGGGTAGGTGAGTTCTTCTCTTTTGTGCGTTTGTTTTGTTCATCGGGTTGCGTGGCAGACTTCTGGCCTCCGCCTGATATAACGTTTTTGGTGACTGAAGTTTGCTTGGACATTGCAGTGCAATGCAGAGTGAGTGTTGTCATGGTTGATTCGAACAGGCCTACTAGGTAGTAGATGACCTGGGCTTGGTGCTGCGTGGAATTCTCGGCCCCAGTCATTTTGTGCAATGCTTTGTGCGTGAGATGGAAAGCAATTGTCACACCATTCATAACAGTTTCTGTATCCGGCACATTGGCCTGCTCGGTTTGGGAAGATTTCTCCTCCGTCAAACTGCTCTCGTTCTGGATAGTCCGGATCAGTCTCTGCTCTGCAGTTTTGCAGAGGATGACTGCATCCACAGCCAGAGAATTGGCCTCCGAACTGCTGTTTGTCCTTCTTTGCAAGGCCTTTTGGACGATATGCAGCTGTCTGTTGAGGCACAAGTCTGTAATGACATTAGTTATCATCGTGACTGATCTAGGAAAAGGGAAACAAGTACCATCTTCTTCTCCTGAATCATGATCATCATCCATCAATGGAATGCTTTTCTGCATACTTTTTGGTAGCTTTGTGCGTTTCCTAGCCATGTTCGAACTGTTCGCATTCTTACCAACAGCAGGCGCCTTGCGTTTGTTTGCCGGCAAGGTCTCATTGTCATTTGCAGTGACTTTGACACGCAGTTTGGCAAGAAGGCCCTCAATACGCTGGTTAAGCTCGTGGACTTGATCTTGTAGTTTGCTCTGTCCTGCCTCAGACCGTTCGTATGCTTGTTGCCAGAAGGAGACGCTGTCGAAGAACTTGTCTGTCGCACCAACTTGGCCCAAATCTTTCGACTTTTTAATGAACTCTCGAATCTGCAAAATGTATTCTAGAATGCACAGTCAATAATTGAATGGTCTGAGTCTGTAAAAACTGGATGTTCGCCTAACCTTTAACGCCTTGGCCTGGTGGTTTTCCCTTGACAACAGCCAATGCTAGGGCTAGTTGAAGCTTGGTTGGAGGTGTAACACTAGATTTAGACGGTGAGTCAGTTGCCATCTTGTCAATGGACTCAAATGGTTCATGGCTTGGGGTAAAAGGGCTGCCATCTACTGAAGAGAGCAGAAACTCCAGGATACACACGTGCCCAGGCAATATATATCTCCATAGATCTACCTCAATCCTATAATCATGGCCACAATGACAGTCAGACATATTTTCATCTTCAAGACAAAAGATAGAGAAAGAATTGAGTACTGAATGGTTTATTTGGCTAATTTAGGATAGTAAATAATAGATTTCCAGATGATTTCGCGATTGAGATCTAATACTATACCAGTTGGCGGCCTGAGGCGTAACAGATCCACCGCCCAAGCTCCGAACTTGAACCTACAAATTTCCATCTCAACAACACCTCATTTTCAAGAGCTCTGATTTAGGGCTATTTACCTCTCGGGGCTATCACTGTGCTCTATATCACCCTACTCCCCAACCCAGCAACCACACACTCCGAAATCGCAATATCAAACGCCCCATTTCATCTCCGCAAATCTCCCAGGCGACACCAGTCGCATAAACGACCAAGATGCCAAACGACGATCTCAAGGCACATGCCGCCTCAAACCAAGATTTCTACGCTCTGCTAGACATACAACCAGCCGCCACGGAGACCGAAATCCGTCGCGCATACCGCCGCACCGCACTAAAGTACCACCCAGACAAGATCAAAAACCCCACCGCAGCAGACATCGACAAATTCCATGTCCTCCAAATAGCCTACGATGTCCTCTCGGACCAATCAGTAAGACAGCTCTACGACAATGCGCGGGAAGCGCGGATGCGCAAACAGCGCGAGCGGGACATGATGGGAGCGGCGAAACGAAAGATGCGCGAAGACCTAGAAGCGCGGGAGCGGGCAGGCGCCGCCGAAATGGGTGGCGCGGGTGTCACGCAGGGTGTCAAGAGATCATGGGCGGCGGGTGGTGATGAGGACGCGGAAGAGAAGCTGCAGCGGGAGATTGATAGGATTGCGGAGGATGGGCGGCGGAGGAGACGCGAGGCTGGGGAGAAGGCTAAAAAGGAGCTTGATGAAGTGAATAAGATGATTGAGCAGCAGGAAGAGGAGGCTCGCAAGGCGGCGGATCGGAGTAGCCAGCGCGTGGACCGCTCGAAGGAGGGTGGCGCGCAGGTCCCTGAGCTCGAGCGTGCGGTGAAAGTGCGCTGGGTGCGGGAGGGCCGTGGGGTCGAGCTTGATATTGAGAAGTTGGCAGTGCTGTTTAAGCCATTTGGGAAGATTGAAAATACCATTGCGCTCAAGGATAAACGCCAACGGATCGGGGAGAACAAGGAGAAGAAGACTGTTGCCACTGGTGTGGTGGTTTTTTCGTCTATTGTGAGCGCTCACACTGCTGTTCTTGATAGCGAGAAGAAGATTCGTCAACATGCTGGTCAAGATGGCGAATGGGGGCTTATCGAGTCTGTTTTCTGGGCCACTGGCAACCAGCCTGATCTCGGTCCTGACACTTCATCTAAGCCTGTCCAGGCTGAGCCCGCACCTGCACCACCAGGACCCTCTGTCGACACTTCCAGCCGGCCTGCTAAACCATCATTCAACTTCCAGGGCTTGAAAACAGCCCCGCAATCCGATAAAGCGCCCTCGTTTGGCTCATTCGCTCCTGCATCTGCTCCGGCAGCTGCTCCGAGTGTAACGTCATTCAATGCATCCACTAAGGCTCCAGCTGCGCCTAGTCTGCAGGAAGTGATGATGATGCGGCTGAAGAACGCACAGCGTGAGAAGGAGCGCAAAGCTCTCGAAGAAGAGCTAACGCGAGAAGACGAGGCCGCAGACGCAGCAGAAGCAGCGGCAGCGAAAGGCCTCTAGCTCTCGCGCTTCATTTCTGCATTTTTGAAAAGTCCCAGCCTGATTCTACCATTGTATTTAGATTCAAGAGATACCCCAGAGAACGTTGTATTTGCAATGTTGAGTTGAATAGAGATACAAGAACTATTTACATCATATCATTTTGTGTTATATTATACATGAGTAGTGATTAGACACTAAGGCGTCTTAGTCTCGGCGCGCTTCGGCTTCGGATTCCTCTTCCTCCAGTTGCTCGACAAATTCCCGTGCCCGTTCACCCTCTGCTTCAGGATCACGGGGGGCGGGCTTCTCCTCTTTTCCACCGGAGATGAAATCTCTCAGCCAAGGCGGCACGAAAGCACGTACTCCGACCTCGTTAGGCTGTTCGACTTCCGGAGCCCAGGTTAGTTTGAAGTGGTGCTCATGAGGACGAGCAGGAGTTTCACCCATGAGCGCAACATCAGTCATAACCTCAAGACGGCACAGCGCAAGTCCAATATTGCCAATGCCATTAAGGAACGTTCCCGCACTGCGGTTTCGGCGAGTAGTGACACCAGCTTTAACAATATCCGCTTCACCAGAAGGCAAACTCAATTGGAAAGACGGATCATATGTCAGGATATCCGGGGCATTTTGCCCATCCTGACCCAATTCATAAAGCTGAACAGGCAAAAGACGCTTCCGCGTAACACCACGGTGGTGGGTACGGATCGTCAGTTCCTGACCGACATAACAGCCCTTGCGGAAATCGATACCACGAGCCATATCCATATTGCACTGCAAAGGCAAAGCCGATCCACTAATAACCTCCGCCTGGCCCTCCGCAACACCGTGCAAAAAGCGACGGACGGTGTACGAGTCCAGCTGGACCTCGGGCCCAGCAACCTGCGCCTCATCCGGGAAGTAGGTGCGCAGGCCGTCCGAGCCGGGCGTGATAATGCGGGATCCGAAGCCCGGAGCACGCGTGTCAATGCACCCGGCAATTTCAGAGGTGGGTGAGAAGGGCGACGGCGATTCCGACTCCAGACTATATGCAGCCCACCGTTGGGGCTCGGCGTGGTTCTTCCATGAAGACCAGATTGTGCGCTCGCCTTCATCCAGAGCGCGGAGCTTGAGCTTCGAGCGCAGCTTGTGTTTCTTGAGGTGCTTCAGCAGGACGGGGACTTGGTCCTTGTCTACCTCCACTAGCCAGCCTGACTCGGTACCCTGGGCCTCTGCGCCGGGGAGCGGGTAGATGAAAGCATCGTTCAGAACTCGGCCTTGTGAATTGAGGAATGCAGTGTATGCGCCTGTGCGTCGAATGTTTCGGTTTGGGTCGTTGGCTATTAGCATGTTCTGGGTCATCAGGCCCTGGAGGAAGGTTGTGCTGTCGGTGCCGGTGATGGAGATCAGTCCGCGGTTTGTGAGTCGGCTGTATCCTGCGGTCGGCGGGAGGGGGGCATTTTGGCTCTGTTCGGCGCGCTGTGCTGTGGTAGAGAATAGCCTACTGCGGTCCAGGCAGCGGCTACAGACCGAGGGGCGTGGGCGCATCATGGTTGAGTTGGTGTGCAGAGCCAATGTGAGTTGATCTATTTCTTTACAAATCGGGCGATGACGTTGGGCGGTGGATTGTGGCAGAAGACTATAGACGACGCCTAGTATTCAAATTAATGGATCACCGGATTTTCAAGTGGTTTACATTAGGCTATTGTACTCGCTAGACAATGATTCGTTTCTTGCAAGTTTGTCGAGGATAAGGGCTGAATTAATCCTAGCCTAACACCAGCTGTGGTGCTATAGACGTCAATACATCGCCAAGTGGCAGAGACTATTTGTACAACAGATGCCATGAATGGCTTTCCTTACGATAGACTTGGAATGTAAGAATAATCGGTTTCAATATTACACTATTGCTATGTGTGTCACTTCTGCCTAGCTAGAAGCTACCGCAGAGCCACCTGAGCATAAAATCAGCGGACCACAGAGCTACTTATTGCCCTTCGCCACTCCCTCCAGGAACCCAAGCAAGAACGCCTTGTTGCTTGGGGAGGAGACATGTTGACCATTGGTGTGTGCGCCAGCATCAGATGGGGTACCGCGACGGGAGATATCCCCGCTGCTCGGACGATGGCGGGAAGAGATTGGGCTGACAAACCCTGAGAACGCTGCCGGCTGCTGGTTAACGGCTCGGACGTCATACGGGGTTGAAAAAAGGGGCGATGGAGAGACAGGTGCCTTGCTGAAGAGAGACAAAAGTGAAGCTTTCTGCTCAGCAGTTTGACTCGGTCGACGGTCAAAGTTGCCCTGTGGGGCCAGGCCCGGGGTGTTGGCATCAACACCAGGCAAACTCAATTTGCGTTCAATCGCTTCTGCTTGAGGAGCCGTGGCCATCAATTCTTCATATCCAGATTTTTCGGATCGACGTAGAATCTGCGGCTGGAAATTCTTGCTGGGCTCAGAGGCTTGGGGGACCTTTGCAGGCTGAACCTGGGTTGCTTGTGCAACGGGCCTCGGCGAGGATACCTCCCGTTTGGCAGAATGAGGACGTGGTAGAATGGTGATGGGTGAGGATAGCTGCTGTGGCTGGGGCTGCTCTCGCCTGATCATATGATTCTTTCGGTGCGCTCCACTGTTTGACCTATGCGGGTTGGCAAATGACTCAAATTGTGGCGTGTTTAATGGTCCAGACACGGTAGCCGATGTCTGACCTGCTCCCGGAAGCCGTTTCGCTCCACCAGGCTGGTGCGTGAGCTGATTGTGGTGATCGCGAGGACGCTGAAGAATCTGCTTCTCTGAAGGCGCCGTAGAGGGCACAACAGGCTTTCCTAACAATTCTGCTGGTTCAGTTACACGGGCGGTTTGAGGACCTTTGAGCAAACCCAAAAGACTATCCTGATGCTGAGACGTCGTAGGCACCTGGGAAGAGCTCTGGATAGGAGCCGCCAACCTCGGTGGACCCAGACCCTTGGGGGTCTTAACCTTGAAGACTTCCAGGAGTGAGAGGGAATGGCTTGTGAGCTTCGGTGGAGGCAACTTGCTTGCCGGTGGGACGACTGGGCCCCGGGTTTGAGATAACTGAGCGGATTCAGAGAACTCAGGGTCTCCCGTCCGTTGAAATGGCGCGGGCATATGGCTTGGGGGCAGAAGACTATGGGCCATAGCAGGCTGATTATGGTGCTGATACTGAGACGAACTGGTGGTTGGAGGAAATTGAGGTATC